TAATTTATGTATTTTTACATTTCTATTTATATATATAAATAAAGTGGTCAGTAGCCGATCTTGTTTGACTATAAAATGGCCAAGTTTTAAAAACATGTCTCTGTTTCTTTTAGGAGAACCCTGGTGATGTATCGTCTGTAGGGTGTTGCACTGTACCTCTCTTGACAGGAGGATCCATCAGCTCTTCATGGGAGAAAGATGATTAATCTCCTCCTGTGTGATTTACAGACTGGAGACCCAGCAGAGGGTCAGCTATGAGTCAGTTCTAACTCAATGGCTATGAGAGATAGATTTCCTCTAGACTGAACTAAACAGCCCTTGAGCTGTGGAAGCCCTTGCATGTCAGGAAGGCGCTGAAGGAGGCCAGGCAGTTGGCCTGTGGGCCTCACTGCCGCCCTTTATTACGATAGACCACTCTCCCGTTAGTATGGAACAAGCTGGTTTTCCCTCTGTCACGACCCTGTGATATCTACTTCCGAAAGCCTCCACTACGACTTTCAAACTCCCCATCTGAACTATAGTAACTAAACTCTAAGACTGTTCTTCATCTGTTTACTTACACATTATTTCATTTATAACAATTATTTATTTACCATAACATGAGTCTTTTTGTTGCTTGTGGTTAAGGGCATCTGGATGTGAGGAAAGACAATGTCTTAACACTTTCAAGAACCATACAGAAATGTAGTCTTTATATCTGCTCCAACGTGTATGAACCTATTATACTGAGTGAAGCCAGTCACAAAGCAATATATAGTGTATGATTCCACTCGCATGGGCTATTTAGAATAGGAAAGTGTATAGTAACCAAAGTTTATTGGTGGTAGAAGGGAGGAGCCAAGGGAGACTCAATGCTTAAGGGGACACTGAGTTTTTGTTAAAAGTACGGGACCATTTGGAAATAAACAATGACAATAATTGAACAACATGATAAAACATGATAAAAATGACTGATGTCACTGAATTGTAAGAACACTGAAATGCCCAACAATCAGTTTGTACAAACCACAATTTTAAAATTAAGTTAAAATTGAATTGGGACGAATTGGCTATATTTACACTGAGTGAGTCACGAAATCCTGGTAATTTTCTCTCTTTTTTTTTTTAAATTTTGGTGAAAAATATATGCAGCAAAACACACACCAACAATTTCTACACGCACAATCCAGCGGCACAACCATTTTCATTCTCCTTTCCCAGATCACTCCTCCATCATTAACTTAACTGTCACACTCCCTAACCCTCTTTCCGTCCTCCCACCCCTGGGAACCACTATAATCTTTGGTTTCTATACATCTGGTTATTTATCATGGTTATGCTGACTTTCTCCTTTTGCATCTGACTTGTTTCACTCAGTATAAAGTTTCCAGCCTCTGTCTTCTCTTAAGGGAAAGACTAAGTGATTCAGAATAATGATGGTAACACATTATTCAAGTAGCCTACGCACACGCTTGTAATGATAATGGCATATATAATTATAAAGTTCTAAGAAACATTGCCTAAAGCCACAAATTAAGCCCCAGCCAGCATCAGAGATGCTTCCCAGTCCCCAGTGCCCTCTTGCACTCACTAAGCCCCTGGCCATCAAGTCAATCCCATCTCATGATGAACCTCCCTCTAGTTTTCAAGGCTGTAAAGTTTAATGGGAGGAGGCTGCTCATCTTTCTCCCACGGAGCTACTGGTGGGTTCAGATGGTTGGAGACTGAGGACTTTGGGTCATCAGGGTACTCCTCAACTTCCTGTTACCCCCAGCCCATACTGTGGCGTTCACATCCATCTGTGAAAGCCCAGGTGACGAGCTGCTTTCTGCTCACAGCACCTGGCTAGGCCTCATTGATGGCAGAAGACTCACTGCCCCTCCCCGGACCCCAAGAACATGGGTCTCAGCTCCCTCAGAGCTCTCCTCTCTGGCTCAAGCTCCGGCTGAAGGTGGGGCATTACAGCACATACAGTCTTGCTGGTTTGCCCTCAGAGCTGGGTGATTTTATCTGCCCTGGTGCACAGGGCACTGTGCTGAATGTTGATTGGCAAATACAGATCCTGCAGAGCAGATGATGTGGAATCATACCCCTTGGTGCTCCCCTTCATCCCTCCCACAACCCCCAGGTCCCCAGTGTGCGTCCGTGCACCCCCCTCCCCTTACCAGTAGCTCACACTGCTGAAGATCACTGTGGCAATGATGCTGAAGGGAAGGACGTGCAGCACGTAGGCCAGCAGCATCTGCCACTTGTGGTACAGACCGTCCTGGCTCTCCTGATCACTGATGGCTCGCAGCACGGGGACTGGTGTGGGAAAGAAGTTTCACAGAGGTCAGTCTTCGCTCAGCTGAGGGGTGGAAAGAAGTCCAGAGCCGAGCTCGAGGTCTGTCAGGGCTGACGTCGAGGGCCAGCTGAGCAGACGTCCATCACAGAACAAGAGGACCTGAGCTCTATAGGGCCCCTGACCCCAGAAACCCACACTCCACCTGAATTTCAGTGTGGCTCTCAGAGTCGTTATGATTTAGCTCCTATTCTGTAAAGTGGAGTGCCACCAATTCAAGCAAAGAAAAAGGGCAAAAATGAGTGGTTTTGGACGCTGTGTCGCTGCTTCATGCAATATGCTGTCACCTTGCCATTTATAAAAAATGTTGTTGTTGTTGTTATGTGCTGTCGAGTTGCTTGCAACTCATAGTGACCCTATGTACAACAACCCTAAACTCTGCTCTGTCCTGTGCCAATCGTACGGTCTCCGACACTCCCATCCCCATTATCCCAGTCACTGAATCAATCCATCTCATAGAGGACCTTCCCCTCCTGTGCCATCCCTCCACCCTCCCAAGCATGATGTCCCTCTCCAAGGACCAGTCTCTCCTCACAACATGTCCAAAGTATGTTAGACGGAGCCTCAGAATCCTTGCCTCCAAGGAGCCACCTGGTTTAACCCTTTCCAGGACAGATCTGTTTGTTTTCCTAGCAGTCCATGGTATTCTCAATACTCTTCTCCAGCACCACAGCTCAAAGGCATCAATTCTCCTTCTATCCTCCTTGGTCATTGTCCAACTCTCTGATGCACAAGTGATTAATACACATTAAAAAAACCTGGGGAGACTATGCAAAGCTTTATTTTCCACAATGTCACTAGGCAATGGCCTTTTCCCTGGCTCCCAGGGGGCAGTGGGCCTGGTCTCTGCAGAGGGCTACCTCTTCTCCATCTCTAGGACAACATGTCCACTTGCTGGGACCTCACTACTGTCCATCCCCATGCATTAGCAGTAACATCAGGTGACTGAGTGCGGCTGCTGCATTCCCACTGAGTTTGAACCTTATGTGATGTGGTTGTTGTTATGTGTTGTCAAGTTAGAATCAACACATAGCTGACCCTCCGAGGCAGTAAAGATGGTTCATCTTTCTTCTGCAGAGGAGCTGGTGGATTTGAACCATGTGTTTTTGGGATTGTAGCACAGCTTCCTTCTAATCACTAGACCACTAGAAGCTCCAAGAACCCAAAAATGAGAAATTGGCTCAATAACAGTGCTCCCAAGGGGTGCACATCCCAAAGCCCAAGAGAGGACTCCAGGAATGGCCTTGTGAAAAACCTTTCCCAAACCCTGCCTCACAAACCTCCCATCATTGCACATTTTTCTGTGATCTTCTTAGACCTAGAAAACCGTCTGATGAGCTAATACACACTCAGGAGTCACTCTCAATAACTTACCTTTCTCCTTGAAGCAGCAAGCAGCCAGGCGGCAATTGGAGAAGGGACGATCTGGAGGAAGGTGAGCCCTCCCGCCCTGGCACTTACACAGCGTCACTGCGTTGAGCATGCCGGTGTAGGGAACCGCGCCCACACACTGGTACAGGAGGCCCACGCGGTCCTGGAAGGCACCCTTTAACACGTCGTTCTGGACCCGCAGGAGGAAGAAGATGACGAACAAGCCCATGATCAGATTCTGACTGAGGCGCATAATCATCGCCAGCTTATTTCTCAGCAAGTTTCTCATCACTCTCCTGAAAACCAAACAGTCTGGTTTTACTACCTCGTCTTTGCTTGGGGAGACGTAGAGATATCAAGCTGGCTTTGCTGTCACTTATGAGGCTCTTACCTCAAGAGAACAGCGAGCTTAGAGAGAGTCCCAGGAGAGTCTTTGGTTTTGAAAGGAATCATTGGTAGTGTTTTCAGGTGTTTTGTTGCTTCAATCTTCTCCAAAGTCCGGCAATAAATGGCTGACCTCTTGTAGGTGGCCTCAATTGTGTGGACTCTCTTGTAAGTCTCCAGTTCTCTTTCTTTGCTCTGAGTATCCACTGAGGTCAAGTCCACTAGAATTTTTCCCAAAAGATAATACCATGTAGTTTTTAAATAATGTGGAAAGAACACATGTTTTATTTCTATTACTGATACTTAAAGATTGAAAACTGTGCTTAAAATTAGGATTTTAAACAGTCCCATGATAATTCATTCCATCAGAGTAATTTACCATGGACTCTGTCCCATGGACGGTCAAGAGAGCAAGCAGATATGTCTTGGAAAGGGTGCAGCCAGAGTACTCATTGGAAGCAAAGATGATGAGGCTTCACTTCACATATTTTGAGCATGTGGCTAGTGGGATGTGCTCCTTGGAGAGGGACATGATGCTGGGAAGGATGGAGGGTCAGCGAAGGAGAGGAAGACAAAGGAGAGGGAACCTTCAACCGGGTGGATTGGCACGTGACTGTGAGGATGGCATAGGATTGGACAGGGTTCAGATCTGTTGTTCGTAGGGTCTCTATGGGTCATACTTGACTAGATGACACCTAACTACAACAAAAACATCAGAGTAAAGCATGCTCTTAGTCTCCATTTACAAAATCAGACTATTTTAGAGCTTGCCAACAGGGCCAAGGAGAGCTATCTTGGAAAATTCAGAAGCTTGGCTAATTTTTCTCTCATCAAGTGGGAGACTTGGTGGGACACCAATTTAAATCAAAAGACTCCTTCCATGCTGATACCTTGTCTACAGCAAACTCATTGATCCAGCTAAATTCACTCCTTGAAGAATAAAGTAAAAAAACACCAAAATTCAAAACAAAACACCACCACAAAACACCCCACTGGTTTCAAGCAGGCAGAACCTTAAGATGATGAAGTTCAAAACCATGCATGTTGGGGAATATTAAGGAAAAACTTACTGTAAAAGTCAAAAGGGTTTGAATGTTCAGGACAAGGGTAGTTACAGCCACTGAAGAAATCAAGCATTTCCACTGGTGTACCACAGAAAATCAGCTCTCCGTGGCTCATGATGGCGATTTTGTCAAAGAGCTAATGGAACAACAGACAGCATTAGTATCTACGTGTCATCACGTCATTATAGCAAGTAAATGCCAGACAGACAGTCGACTATGTACCCCCTGTACATCAACACGATAATTGCAACCACCTCTCTTTTTTTCCAGCTGGGATGACACTGCTTTGGGCCCATGTACCGAGTGAGTGACCCGGGCATGCTGAGTTTGTTTTGGTTTATCTCAGATTCTTCCTCTATAAAAGGCAAATGATATCTACATAGTAGGATATGGAAGAAGCCTTGGTGGCATAGTGGTTAAGTGTTTGGCTTTTAACTGATAAGTTCAAACCCATCAGCTGCTCCACAGAAGAAAGATTTGGAATCTGCTTCCATAAAAATGGATGGCCTTGGAAACCCTCTGGGGCCATTCTCCCCTGTCCTAGAGGGTCACTCACTATGAGTTGAAGCAGACTTTCACAGTGACTGGTTTGACCAGGACACTGGAGGTTAGCGTGGAAGGGCTGGAAGGGGATCTATCTAAAAGAAACAGTCTCTAAAGACAACTGGACGACGAAGACAGCTCTAGCTTTATCCTAACTGTAAAATGGGCTCAATCTTGTATCGTTTCTAAGTTTCACTCTTCATCGCTGTAAAGTGGATGTACAGAGTACTCCATTATGGGATTTAGGGAAATAATGAAAAAATTGGCCATATTGTAGGTGCTGAAAAAAACCCTGGTCTTCATCTTTTGCCTTTTCCACTGGAACCTACAGTGTCAATGCTCATCTTGGCCCCAAAGATCCTTAGTGCTGCCCAAAGGTCAGCAGTTCTAATCCACCACCTGCCCTGAGGGAGAAAAGCGAGGGGGAGGGTTCTCCTCCTATAAAAATGTAGGGCCTCAGCAATACACAACAAGAGTTTGATTAGACATGAAAATAAATTAATTACATTAATCAGTTACAATTAATGTTATAAAACAAAATGTCTCTGAATGATTGGATGAAAAACCAATGATTTGTAAATTGTCAAAATTTAAAAAAAGAAACCCCCCCGCTAGAGGGTGGCTATGAGTTGGAACTGACTCAGTGATGTCTTGGATTAGTGGGACTCATTGCTCAGGAGATCTAGGGTGATACAAATAACTAAGTGCTCCACTTCTCATAATAAGAAAGACTGCTCACTTAAATCTGCCCAGAGGCACCTTGCAAGTACGGCCTGGTGACTTTTTCTTTTTAAATCCTGTGGAACCGTTCTACTCTGCACATCTGGGAGTTGACACTGAGTTGACAGCAGCCCACAGCAATCCCTGCCTGCCTCTGACACTCCCTCTTTAGCACACTCACATCTCCCCTCGCTGTGGAGTAGGAGCCAAAGGTACCGCCTTTACCTGGAAGAGCTCCGAGCGGGGCTGGTGGATGGTGAGGATCACGATGCGGTCCTTTCTGGCCAGCTTGGCGAGGAGGACGACAATCTGGTTGGCTGTCATGCAGTCCAGCCCCGTGGTGGGCTCGTCAAGCAGCATGATCTCTGTTCAGAGGGCAGATTCCCTGTTGAGCTTGGGGTGTGTGGAGGTGCCTTAAGCCAGCTCAATTTTTGAGTAAGCAATTTTTAGCCTTATCCCAGGAAAAATTTCCTGAACTGGGAGTCTTGGTCCCAATTCTGGAGTGTACTTGACCTCAGTCAAGGATTTCCTCTGACTCAGTACTTTGAGCTATGTGGGCTCTTCCCAGGGAACAGTGACAACTATAAGCTGGTAAGTTATTTTTTAAAGAGCAAGAGGAGAAATGGTTAAAGAGACCATATTGGTTTAAGAGACCATAATGGTTAAAGAGACCGCCTCATATACTTTGGGCTTATTGTTAGGAGGGGTCAGTCCTTGAATGCAATGGTGGAGGGTTAGCCTAAGAAAGGAAGACCTTCAACAAGATGAATTGACAAAGTGACTGTAACAGTGGGTCCAAGTATATCAGAGATGGTAAGGACAGCACAGGATAGGATAGGGTTCAGATCCATTCATTGTTCACGGGGTCGCTATGAGTTGTAGTTAACTCGAGGGCACATAATAATAACAGCATGTTGTTACACTAACAAGATCTTTGCACTGTCTAGCCTGTGAAAACTTGTCTGTGGAGAAACAGATGTTTAAGCTCTTTGGAGATTTTAGTTGTAGCTTTACTTCTGCTTTAGTGAGTTAACTCAAAGGCTGCAAGTCTTTGCAGTTCAAATCCACTAGAGGTTCTGGCAGAGCAAGACGGGCAGTTCCTTCCTGTTGTGATGTAAGCCCAGAAGCTCAATGGAGTCAGAGCTGGCTTGATGACAGTGAGTGTTGGGATATTTTGTCTTGTTTTAATTTCTGTGCAAAAGGTGACCAGGCTCTTGAGAATACTTTCTTATTTCCCTTCAGGTGATTAAAGAGCATAAAAATATACAGTCTGGGTATAACCCAGTAAAGAAAATAATCAGATGCACTATGTCTTCTTCCAGGTACAAAGAAGTGATGAGCTTCCCCAGGCAGTGGAAGAATGGCTGAACCAGGCGTGATGGCCCCTCCCAAGAACACACATACACTTTGGAGTCCATCACATAGTTCTCCTTCAATTCTTGTCATGTCAGAAACTGTGATTAGAAGTGCACACCAAAATCCACTAGCATCCATAACAGACTCAGTGATGTTTCTCCAGTAAGAAACGAGAAGGCTAGGCATCACATTCACATTGTGGGGTTGATGCTGTGTAGTCAACGCTCACCAATAGCAACCACAGGACGACAGAAGCAAACATTGTGCAGTCCTGCTCCAGCCTCACAGTCACTATTGTGCTGGCTTCCATTGTCGCACTACTGGGTCAGTCCATCGTGGTGACCATCTTCCTCTTTTACTGACCCTCTACTTTATTAAACAATGTGTCTTTTTCCAAGAACTAACTCGTCCTGACAACAAGCCCAAAGTCGGCAAGACCAGGTCTCACATTGAACGAGAGTCCTGGCTGTGCTTCTCTCAAGACAGATTTGTTTGTTCTTTTGACAGTCCATGGTCAATACTCTTCACCAGCACCACAATTCAAAAGCATCAAGTCTTTTTCTTCTTCTTCTTCTTCTTCTTCTTTATAACTCATTGCTAACCTTTCACCTGCATTTGATGCAACTGAAAATACCCTGGCTTTGGGAAGATGCACTACAATTCTCAGTGACTTCCTGGCTATTCAGCACTTTAATGAGATCTTTTGCTGCAAACATGCACAGTGCAATGGGCACACTGATGCATCCTTTGATCTTTTTGACTACTGCTTTCATGTGTATTAATTGTAGATCCAAGTAAAATAAAATCACTCACAACTTTGATATTTTCCCTATTTATATTGTAAGGTCTTAAGGTCATGGACTTGAGAAATGGACCAGAGAGCAAGAAACCTTATAAGTAGCTTTATTAAGGGAGCTTCTGGGCGAGATTCCTTGGTCCGGAAAGGGAGGCTGAGGAAGTCACGTGTAGGGTGTATTCAGGTGGTTTTTTATAGCAGGCCCTTCAGGGAGGGGGAAGAGTATCGAGGGGCATTCCATTGTGGTTTATGGTTCAGCCAGTGGGTGAAGCCCTCACATTCTTTTGATTCCTTATTCCCCCTTGGCTTTACAATCCTGATATTGGTTATTAGTTCAATTGTGAAAGTTCTTGTCTTCTTTATATTGTGTCATATGCATATTGTAGGTTGTTAATTGGTCTTCTGCCAATCTTGATGCCTTTTTCATCTTCATACCGTTTCGCTTCTCAGATTATTCACTCAGCATAGATTGAATAAATAGAACTGAAACACACACTGGTACTGTTTTAAACCATGCAGTACTCCCTTTTTATATTCGAGTGGCTACTCTTTGGTTTACATCCAGGTTCCACATGACGACAATATTCTGGAACTCCCATTCTTCTCAATGTTATCCATATATTGAGATATATTGGACTACAAGCCACACAGTTAGTAAAACACCAGTAAATCTATTTCTTGTTTTCTTTGCTTTTAGTCAAGCTCCATCTGGCATTAGTAATGACAGCCTTCATTTCATGTACCTTTCTGAAACCACCTTGAATTCCTGGCAGTTTTTGTGGATGTACTGGAGCAACTGGTTGTGTGGTTTTATTTGTTATTTGCTTTGTTGGGTTTTTTGGTTTGTTTTCTTTTCTCCAGCAATATTTTACTTCCACTTAATTCTGATATTATTCAATAATTATTATAATAAATAATTATTATTCAATAATTTCCACATTTTGTTGGAGAGAACACAGACACTGATCTCTTTTACCTTGTTGGCTAGGTAGCTGTCTTCGAGATGTTTTTCCATAGACAAGGGAGTACCTCATTCCACTAGTGAATTCCACTAGTATTTCAGTCAATTCCTAGAACATTGATTTTGGCCAATGCCTTCAGTGAAATTTGGACTTTCCCCCTTCAATACCATTGATTCTTGATCATCTAAACCTCCTGATATGGTTGGGCACCAATCATCTTTTTGTTACAATGACTGTGTAATCCTTCCATCTTCTTTTGATGATTTCTGCATCATTCAATATTTTGCCCATCAGTCAGTATTGTAACTCAAAGCTACAATTTGTTCTTCAGTTTTTCCACTTGCCAAGTATGTTCTTCCCTTTCATTTGTCTCCAAGTCACTGCACCTGTCATTACAATACTTTGCTTTGTTTTCCCCTGTGACATCTTCTCTTCAGCTTTCTATGTCATCTTACTCTCCATTCACTTTAGCAAATTTCAGGGTCTCTTCTAATACCTAGTTTGGTCTTTTGGTTTTCCTTTTCAATGACCCATTACTTACCTTCTTTTTCTATGATGTTCTTGGCATCTAATCTACATTAATGTATAAAGCATCAAATCTATTCTTGAGATGGTCTCTAAATTCAGGTGAGGTATACTTTCAGATGAAGTCATACTTTGATTCCCTTGGACTCATTTTCTTTTCTTCAGCTTGAACTTGGACTTACATCTAAGCAATTGACACACACCTTCCTGCAGTTAGTCCCTAGCCATGTTCTGACTGGTGATAACTGAGTTTTCCCCAGAGTTGTAATGGATTTGATTCTTGTGAGTTCCATCCTATAAAGTCCATGTGTATAGTTGTTGTTTATGGGTTTGCTTGTTTTTTTCCAGAAGGTATCTGCAATGACTATTAGGCTCCATCAAGTTGACTATAACTCATTGTGACCATGTGAACAACAGATCTGAACCTTTCCATCATCATGATCTCTGTCCTGATGAAGCCCATTGGATGGTCACTGTGCCAATCCACTTCTTTGAGGGTCTTCCTCTCTTTTGCTAACCCTCTACATTTCCCAACATGATGTCTCTCTTCAAGGATGGATCCTCTTGAAAATATGTCCAAGGTAAGTGAGAAGATGTTTCACTATTCTTGTTTCTAAGCAGCACCCTAGTTACATTTCTTTCAAGACATTTCTTTTTGTTTGTTCTTTTGGCAGTCCATGATATATTCAATATTCTATGTCATTACTACAATTCAAAGTGATCAGTTCTTCTGTCATCCTTATTTACTGCTCAACTTTCACATGCATAGGAAGCAACTGAAGACATGATGGCTTGGATCCGGCACATCTAGTCTTTAAACTGACATTATTGCTCTAAGCACTTTAGAGAGGTCTGTGACAGCAAGCAGTTTCCCCATTTGATTTCCCCCCAATTTGATTTTTTTACTGCTGCTCCTATGAATATTGATTGTGGGTCCAAATAAAATTAAATCACCAACAACTTCAATCTCTTCTGCATTTATCATGATGATGCCTATTGGTCCAGTTGTGGGGGGTTTTGTGTTCTTAATGTTGAGATGTAAGCCATATTGAAGGCTGTAGTTGTTGATCTTCTGCAGTGAGTGCTTCACGTCTTCCTCACTTTCAGCAAGCAAGGTTGTATTAGCTGCATGATACAGGTTGTTTTGACTCTGTGGATTATTACAGATTATGGCTAACATTGAGATGAATGGGAATTCCAGAATATTTAATTGTGCTCATGTAAAACTTATACATACACCAAGAAACAGTTATCCAAACAGAACAAAGAAACACTGCATGGTTACAATCAGGAAAGGTGTGTGTCAGCATTGAATCCTTTCTCTATACTTATTCAGTCTGTATGCTGAGCAAATAATCTGAAGAGTCAGTCTCTATGAAGAAAAATGTGGCATGAAGATTGGAGGAAAGCTCATCAACCTGCTTTTCAATGAAGAGGTGACACAAAATTTTATCATGTAGTCTCTCTGTTCACAGAAGATCCTAATTGAATACTCAAGGGCTAATGCAATGCTTCTAAATCCAGAAATATTTTGACTTGGCTATTATATCTAGAAAATGAACCATCCAGTATTTTTTTAAAAATAATGTGTTTCCTGGTTTGAAAAACCTCAGTAACTTCAGTTCCTTCAAATCCCTTCCCAAATAAGGACTATGGAGTATCTGGAGACTCCTGGAAGGTCCTTCAGCAGCAACTGCTAACAGAGCCGGGCCCCACTTACTGGGATCCTGGAGAAGCTGGGCTGCGATGGAGACCCGGCGCCGCTCACCACTGGAAATGCCTCCGAAGTTGGAGTTGCCAATCAGTTCATCTGCCACGTGACTCAGACTCAGTTCTGCCATGACTTCCTCCACCTGCAGGAGACATGAAGATGAGGAAAGCCTGGCCCCTTCTGTAGCTCCTATGCCATTAGGCTAAGGATGGCACTGGAGAGGCAGCACACTTCCCCACAGTGCCTAGATCCCTTCAGACTAACCTCGCCTGGGGGAATCAAGTTTAGTTTAAACTCAAAGTCAAAAGTCAAAGTCATTGCTGGCTTACAGCTGCAAGGAAGGAGATTGCCCATCTTTCTCTTGAGGAGTTGTGGTGGATTCAAACCATCAGAGAGGCTCAGTCTTTGGGTTAGCAGAGCTCCTTCGTTTGAACTAGACCTGTTTTAAAGGAGCCCTTGTGGTACAAACATTAAATACTCACCTGTTAACCAAAAGGTCAATGGTTTGAAGCCAGTAAACCCCTCCAAGGAGAAAGACCTATTATCTGCTCATGTAAAGATTGTTGTTGTGGTTGTTGTTTTTAGGTGCTGTTGAGTTGACCATGACCCATAGTGACCCTATGAACAGCAGATCTGGGCCTGCTCCTGTACCATCCTCATTATCTCCGATATAGCTGAGCCCATTATTATAGTCACTGTTAATCGATTTCATTGAGGATCTTCTCTTTCCCTGACCATCCACCTTTCCAAGCATGATGTTTTTCCCCAAGGAATAGTCCCTCCTTACAACATGCCCAAAGTATGTGAGATGAAGTTTTACTACCTTTGCCTCCAAAGCAGCACACTGGTTACACTTTTCTCCAAGATAAAAATCCACAGGCCTATTCTTCACATGAGAGACCTCTGCTGGTTTAGTGGTAAGGAGTTGTGTTGCCAACAAAAACATTCATGGTTCAAATCCTCCAGCTGCTCCATGGGAGAAAGATGGGCAATCTGCTCCTATGTGATTAATTGCCTCTAAAAACAGACTTGAAGGTATACAACAACAGCAACATTCTTCACATGAGGTCACTATAAGTTAGAATAGACTCAGTGACATCTAACAACAGCACACCCGTTTCCTTTTATATAACCCAAATAAGGCCTGAGGAACTTACTTTGTTACATGTATTCTACATCTATGGCAGCAGCAGTCAAGAAATCAAAAGACCTGTTGCATTGGGCAAATGTGTTCTCAAAGACCTCTTTAAAGTCCTGAAGACCAAGGATGTCAGTTTAAAGACTAAGATAAGATGATCCAATCTAAGGTATTTTTAGTTGCTTCATATGATGTGAAAGTGGGAAAATTAATAAGGAAGATTGAAGACAGACTGATGCTTTTGAGTCGTGATGGTAAGGAAGAGTATCTACTATGCCAAAGATGGAAAAGTGAGGAAAAATGGGGTTGCTGCCAAAATTAAAAAAGACATTTCTAGATCCATTTTGTAATATCCTATTGTGACAGGATAATATCCATACACATACAGTGAATACCACTATCATTCAAATATATGCACAGACAACGAGGGTCAAAGTGGAGGAAACAGAAGATTTATACCAACTTTTTTTCAGTGAGAAATCTATTGAATGTGCAATCAAGATAGTAATGGATAACTTGAATGCAAAAATTGGGAACAGAGAAGAAAGATCAGTAGTTCAAAAACATGGACTTGGTGACAGAAATTAAGCTGTACACTCAATGATTTATTCATTGCAAATACTTTTTATGAGAAGCACAAATGCAGGCTATACACATGGATTTCACCTGATGGTATGCATAGGAATCAAACTGATTACATTGGTGGAAAGAATTGCTGGAGAATCTCAATATCAGCTGTGAGAACTAGGCCAGATGCTGATTGTGGACAAGACCACCAACTACTCATATGCAAGTTCAAGCTGAAGTTGAAGAAAATAAACTCAAATCCACAAGAATCAAAATTTGACCTTAAGTCTATCCCACTTGAACTTCAAAATATCTCACAATCAGGTTTGAGGTCTTAAACACCAATGAGCAAAGACCAGATGAGCTGTGGAAGGATATAAAGATATCATCATTGAAGAATGCAAAAGATCATTACAAAGGCAGAGGAGGGAGAAAAGACTAAGACGGATGTTAGGAGAGTCTCTGAATACTGCACTAGAGTGCCAAGAAGCCAAAGCAAAGGGAAGAAGTCAAGAAATTAAAGAGCTGAACAGAAGATGTCAAAGGGCAGCACGGGGAGACAAAACAAAGTATTATAATGAAATGTGCAAAAAGCTGAAGTCAGAAAATCAAAAGGGCCAAACTCGCACAGCATTTCTTAAGCTAAAAGAACTGAAGAACAAATTCAAGCCTCAAGTTGCCATACTTAAGGATGCTTTTTGCAGAATATTAAATAATCTAGGGAGCATTAAAAGAAGATGGAAGGAGTATGCAGAGTCACTGTACCAAAAAGAACTGGCCAACAAAGAAGAATTTCACGAAACAACATATGAGCAAGAGCCTGTGGTGATGAAGGAAGAAGTTCAAGCTGCTCTCAAATAATTGGCAACAAACACAGCCCCAGGAATTAATAGAATACCAACTGGCATATTTCAACAAACAGACATTGTCCTGTATGTGCTCACTAAGTTGTGCCAGAAACATGGAGGACAATCACCTTGCTAACTGACTGGAAGAGATATTGCCACAAGGACAAATAAATCTAAGTTGGAAAGAATACAGCCAGAGTGCACATTAGAGGCTGGGACGGTGGGACTCACATACTTTGGATGTGTTGTCAGGAGGATTCAGTTCCTGGAAAAGGACATCATGCTGAAAATGTGGCAGATCAGAGAAGGACAGAAAGACCCTTAAGGAGATGGAGTGTCACAGATATATAGCGAGATTGGCACAAGACCAAGCGAGGTTTGGATCTGTTGTACAAAGAGTTATTAAGAGTTGGAGGCAAGTCAATGGCATCTAACAACAGCAGCATGTCCTGAGGTCCCATGTGACCCAATCTCAGTATGACTTTGCATTAAAAATACCTAAATAGGTGACCAAAAAGAATTAAAAATAATGCCAATCTTTAATCCCTAATCTCTTACTCTCTCATTACCTTTGAGTTGGAACTGGCCAACCTGTCAGCCAGTTTTCAGAGACTGTAAATCACACCTCAGATTACAATTACACACCTTTTTCCCCTCAAAAGAAACTTAATTTACAAACTACAGCCAAACATTTTAAAATATCTCTTCTCCCAATCTGCTTTACTGTGTCTGTCCCTCTGTAGCCTGAAACCTGTATCCCTTTTTCTCAACAACCGCCAAAAATAACTTTAAAAATTCCCTACTGACCTCCATGGTCTTCACAATTACCTGTTATGCATCAGAGAGCTGGACAGTGTCCAAAGGGGACAGAAGAAGAATTGATCCCTTTGAGTTGTGCTGGAGAAGAGTGTGGAACATACCGTGGACCGCCAAGAAAATAACAGATCTGTGTAGAAGGAGGTGCAGCCTAGCTGTTCCTGGGAGGCAAGGATTTTGAGGCTCTGTTTCACATACTTTTGGATTCTGTCAGGAGGGACCAGTTCTTGGAGAAGTACATAATGCTTGGTAGGGTGGAGGGACTGCACAGGAGAGGAAGACCCTGCATGAAACAGATTGACAAAGGAACTGGGGAAATGAGGGTCAGTGTGTCAGACAAAGTGAGATTGGCCCAGAATAAGGCAGGGTTCAGGGCTGTTTTGGATACGGTTGCTATAAGTCGCAAGCAACTCTGGCACATAACAACAACCACTGAATTTCTAATCAAAGACTCTCATCTTTGTTCTTCTTCCTCCCCATGTCCTTCCTCAGTTTATCACATCTCCTGAGACATATTAAAAGATCATGATCCTCCTCTTAAAATTTACCCCTATTTGCATAAGACTTCATGGAATATATAAAAAAAAAAGAACCAACCCAAAACCAACAACAACTCAAAGTCTTATCATGAAAAGAGAAACAAAAACTGTATGAAAAATCCAAACAAACAGGATTAAAGTTCAAAAGGGGATGATTTATGGAACAAAGTTTCAGAGGAATGAGGGCTTGAATCAACAGTACAGATGAGGCTTGGGGCCAAATAAAATTTATGCAAAGAAATGATGAAGAGGTAAACTAGTACCATTTGTCCTAGAAAAAAGAAAACCCCCTCTTGTCTCAGGTGGAAGGATCCTGAGCTGAGCTCGCCTGCCTTGGCTCGGAGTGTGTGCTCACCAGCCAGAGCACTTCCTGAGCCTCCTTCTCTTCTGCTCACCAACATCAACAAAGTTGATTAAAGCTTCAGGAGCTGGCAAGGGCAGCATTCATTCATCTGTCTCAGAGGCCTCAATAAGGAAAACATTTGCTGTGGATCAGTTTCAAGGTATCCATGAATTTTCTGACTATGCAAATATATGTGTTTTCTAGAGTAAGGGTTCAGTGGTTTTCTCTGATTCTCTTAAAGATGGTTTTTGTTGTTGTTATGTACTGTTGAGAACCTTAGTACTCATAGTGACCCAATGAACAATAGCTCTAAACTCTGCCCTATCTTGAGCTACTCTCACTGTCTCTGACACAGCTGCACCCAGTCACTGAGTCAATCCATTTCATTCAGAGTCTTCCTTTCCTGCACTGACCCTCCCCAGCATGATGTCGTTCTCCAAGCACTGGTCTCTCCCGTTAACACGCCCAAAATACATATGATAGAGCTTCAAAAATCCTTGCCTCCAAGAAGCAACCTGGTTTCCCCCTCTGCAGGATAGACCTATTTGTTTTCTTGGCAGTCCATAGTATGTTTAATACGCTTCTCCAGTCCAGTACCAGAACTCAAAGGTATCAATCCTGCTTCTGTCATCCTTAGTCACTGTCCAGCTCTCAGATGCATACTGTTGTTGTTGCTGTTATGTGTCGTCGAGTTGTTTGCGACTCATAGTGACCCTATGTACAACAGCCCTAAACCCTGCTCTATCCTCTGCCAATCGTACTGCCTCTGACACACCCATTCCGATTACCCCAGTCACTGAATCAATCCACCTCATAGAGGGTCTTCCCCTCCTGAGCTGTCCCTCCACCCTACCAAGCATGATGACCCTCTCCAAGGACCTGTCTCTTCTTACAACATGTCCAAAGTATGTTAGCCGAAGCCCCAGAATCCTTGCCTCTAAGGAGTAGCCTGGTTTAACCCTCTCTAGGATGAATCTATTTGTTTTCTTGGCAGTCCATGGTACATTCAATACTCTTCCCCAGCACCACAGCTCAAAGGCATCAATTATCCTTCTATCCTCCTTAGTCATTGTCCAACTCTCTGATGCATAACAAGTGATTGCAAAGACCACAGCCTGTATCAGGAGCACCTTAGTCTCCAGAGAGACACCCTTGCTCTTGAGTACTTTAAAGAGGTCCCTAACAGCTGACTTTCCCATCGCAATATGTTTTTTTATTTCCTTGCTGCTGGTGCCAAGAATGTTGACCGTGGAGCCGAGCAAACTGAAGCTGTGAACAATCTCAATCTCTTTGCCATCCATCCTGATGCTACCGATTGGTCCAGTGGTGAGAATCTTTGTCTTCTTGACATTGAGCCTCAGTCCATACTGAAGGCTGCAGTCCTTGACCGTCTGCAGTAAGTGCATGAGGTCCTCCTCAGTTTCAGCAAGCAGGGTTGTGTCATCTGCATAACGCAGATTGTTGATAGATCTTCCACCAATCCTAATGCCACACTTCTCCTCATAGAGCCCAGCCTCTCAGATAATCTGCTCTGCATACAGGTTGAAAAGGTATGGAGACAGGACACATCCCGACGTTACAGCCTTCCCAATTTTGAACCATGCAGTGTTGCCCTGCTCTGTTCTGACGACTGCCTCTTGGTCCAAGTATAGGTTTCACATTAGCACGATTAAATGTTCTGGGATTCCCATTCTTCTCAGAGTCAGCCACAGTTTGTTATGATCCACACAGTCAAATGCCTTTGCATAATCAATGAAACACAGATAGACATTCTTCTGGTATTCTCTGCTTTCAGCTAAGATCCATCTAACATCAGCTACAATATCCCTAGTACCACGAGCCCTTCTAAACCCAGCCTGGACTTCTGGCAGTTCTCTGCTGATGTACTGTTAAGTAATTCAAAAGACAATGGCCTGGATTAGGCACAGTTTAGTCTCTGGACTGACATTGTTGTTCGTTAGCTCTCTGGAGAGGTGCCTGACAACAGATTTTTCTAATGTAACTCATCTTGATATCTTGATTACTGGTACCAAGAGTATTGAATGTGGATCCAATCAAGATGAAATTGTTAACAATCTCAGTCTCTTTTCCATTTGTCTTGATGCTGCCAATTAGCCAGTGGTGAGAATCTTTGTTTTCTTGATGTTGAGATGCAATCCATATTGCAGATTACAGTTCTTGACCTTCTGCGGTCAGCGCTTCAGATCTTCCTCAGTTTCAGCAAGCAACGTTGTATCATCTGCATAACACCAATTGCTGATGCCATATTCTGTTCATAAATTCCAGCCTCTCAAATCATGTGTTTCGCATATAGATTGAAAAGATATGGCAAAAGGACGCATCCTTGGCACACTTTTTTCCTGAGTTTGAGCCATGCTCTGTGCTGATGACTGTTTTTTGGTCAAGTATAGGCTTTGATGACATGAGCACAATCAAGTGTCCTGGGATTCCCATTCTTCTCAATGTTAGCCACAATTTATTGTGATCCAGTCAAAGGTCTTTGGATAGTCAATAAAATACAAATAGATATTCTTCTGGCACTCTCTGCTTTCAACCAACATACATTTGACATTGGCAATGATGTCCTTATGATGCCATGTACTCTTCTAAATCCAGCCTGTATTTCTGGCAGTTCTCTCTGTATACTGTTTCAGTTGTTTTTTGTATGATATTCAGCAAGATTGTGCTTGCGTGTGATATTAGTGACATTGTTTGATAATTTCCACACTCTGTTAGATCACCTTTTTGGGGAATGAAAATAAATATGGATTTCTTCCAGTCATTTGGCCGGTAGCTGCCCTCCAGATTTTTTGACACAATGTAGTGAAGACATCCAGGACTGCATCTGTTTTTTAAATATTGTCAATTGGTATTTCACCAATTCCTTCAGAGAAGCTTGAAGTCTAACTGGATCACTGACTCAGATTTCACTCAAATATTAGTGGGAAATCAAGTTACTCCTTGGAAGCTAGGATTCTGAACCTCCATCTCACATACTTTGAACACGTGTCATTGGAGAGGGACATCATCCTCAGAAGGGTGGAGGGACATCGCAGGAGAGGGAGACCTCAGATGAGATGGATTGATACATTAACTGGGACAATGAGGGTAGTTGTGTCAGAGACAGTGAGATTAGCTCAGGACAGGGCAGGCTTCAGAGCTGTTGTACATAGGGTCACTATGGGTCGCAGGCCACTCAAGGGCACATAACAACAAACAACAAAGTTTAGAGATAAATATACTTGGCAAGTGCAGAGAAGGTTTATAGAGGGCCTGAGTGGCCTAGCTTCTCCTCACTCAGCCATGTGACCATGCCTATGTCTCCCCTGTACTGAACTCTGACCTCCCTCTTCCCTGGGCCTCAGGGAGTTATGGTACAGTTAGTGTCAGAGTTCATCTGCCAGCTCTGTCAGTGCCAGTTGTCTGATCTTAATCTCCTGAAAAGTGATGATAAACATCTCTCTCAGAGGACGGATATAAGAATGAAATAATATAGTGTAGTAAAGGAGCCCTAATGCTGACTAGATAGGAAAGCTCAAAGTACAACCTAATAAAATAGCACCAAGCACGCAACATTTTCTGAACAACCTAAGGTAACCCTAGAGAGAAAACAGTTGTTGTCAGGTGCTGTTGTGTCAGCACCAACTCACAGCTGACCCTCCAGAAGGGTTTCAGAGGCTGTAAAGCACACTGGGGACAAAAAGGGGAGTGGAGGGACACTGTCCATCTTTCCCCTGAGGAGCAAAGGCCTGTTTTTCTGTTGGCACCTCAACTCCTTACCTCTACGTCACCAGATCTCCTTAGCTGACCCTCCAGTGGGTTTTCAGAGGCAGTGAATTGCATGGGAGTTGACTGTCCCACAGAGCAGCTAGTGAGTTCGAACTACATGCCATTGGGTTGGCAGAACAGCTTCTTAGCACTAGGCCACCAGAGCTCTCCCCTAAAGAGTTTGTCGTTCTTGTTGTTAAGTGCTTTTGGTAGACTGTGACTCATAACCACCCTATGCACTATAGCTCTGAACCCTGCTCTATCCAGAGCCAATCTCACTGTTTCTGACATAACTCATTACCCCAGTCATTGTGTCAATCCATCTCATTCAGGGTCTTCCTCTCCTGCACTGTCCCTCTATCCATCCAAGCATGATGTCCTTCTCCAAGGATTGGTCTGTGGGAGCAACATGCCCAAAGTATGTGAGACAGAGCTTCATAATCCTTGCCTTCAAGAAGCAGCTTGGTTTCACGCTCTCCAGGACAAACCTGTTTGTTCTCTTGACAATGGTATGTATGTTCAATACTCTTCTCCAGCACAGCAACTCAAAGGCATTGATTCTTCTCCTTTCATCCCCTTTGGTCATTGTCCAGGTCTCTGATGCATAACAAGTAATTGCAAAGATCATGGCCTGAATCAGGCACATCCTCGTCTCTAGACTGAGATAGTTGCTTTTTAGCACTCTGAAGAGGTCCTTATTGTAGAACCAAGCAAGGTGAAATTGTTAGCAATTTCAATCTCTTCTCCATGTGCCATGATGCTGCCATTTGGCCCAATGGTGAGAATCTTTGTTTTCTTAATGTTGAGCTTCAATCCACATTGAAGACTACAGTCCTTGAACTTCTGCAGCAAGTGCTTCAGGTCGTCTCCTCAGTATCAGCAAGCAAGGTGTGTCATTTGCATAACACAGGTTGTTAATGAATCTTCCTCCAATCCTGATGCCACATTCCTGCTCCTAAAGTCCAGCCTCCTTAATGATTATTTCCACATATAGTTTGAAAATGTATGGAGATAGGATGCATCCCTGACAGCACTCCTTTCCTATTTTGAACCATGCAGTGCTCCCCCCTGCTTTGTTCTGATGATTGCCTCCTGGCCCAGCATAGGTTTCACATCAGCACAGTCAGGTGTTGTGGAATTCCCATTCTTCTCAGTCAGCCACAGTTTGTTGTGATGGCGGTCAGCCTGCTGGTACTTAGGCCACTGTCAGGTCAAGTCTAGTTCCCTTCATCCTGAGCCCAATCTAGAGTCCAGCCCCTATTCTGAGACCTTATGCAAACAGGGGTAATCAGTAAGGGAAGAATAAAAACCAGATCCTTGCAATAAATTGCAGGTCAAGCTACAATCAGTACTAGCAAAAACAGGGAGATGTTTTACATTCTGCTTTCTCAGACTACCCTTCCCAAATCATCCGTGGATTTCACTCAATGGGATATCATTTCAAGTGCTCAAAAGCCACATTAGAGGCTTTGATACTCAACTTGTGGATTCATATAGACATAAAGGTTCCACCTTTAGCTTAGTTTTAGACTAGGCCACTCAAGCTCATTGGCTTTAATACTAGTGGAATATGAGCATTAACTAGTTCTAATATATTCCGTGCCATTGAGTCGGGACCTAACTGACCATCCGCCTGCCCCTCCAGAGGGCTTTCAGCAGCCGTAAAGCGCACAGGAGGAGATGGCATCGTTCTCCAGAGGCAGGAGTAGAACCATCTATGCTTGCTCTGGCAGTGCAACTCCTTAACCTCTGGTCCACCAAAGCTCCCTGAGTAGCTGCTTATTGGAAGGAGCATGTCTAGATTACAGAGTTAAAAGGGAAGAACGGACGAATGGACGAAGGAGTCTATTAAGTTAAAGATGCCGCTCTGCGGACAGCCTGGACTCACTTTCCTCCGGAAGTAGCCCCTCGAGCCGCTGCGGATGGCCAGCAGCGCCGTGTAGTGCAGCGTCTCGCGCACGGTGAGGTTGCTCAGAAGAGTGTCGCTCTGCCGGGAGAATGAGGCGTCAGCATCGACGTGGGCACCCCCACCCCCGCCCTAGGCTGCACAGGGTCCCCGGGGACGCGCCCACCTGCAGAACGTAGGAGAAGCAGTCCTGGAACTGCTCTCGGCGCAGCGCGCGCCCGTTCACACACACCTCTCCCTGCAAGGTCCCCGTGCGCCGCAACCTCCCAGACATGGCGTCCAGCAGCGTGGTCTTCCCTGAGCCTGCGGGCGAGAAGGGACGGCCCTGGAGCGACCGCCACCCCCACCCCAGGGCACTGGACGAGCTTCCCGGGCCCCTCCTTGGGGCAGCTCAACCTCTGCGCGTTCAGACTGCTTCTGACTTGAGCTTCTGAGGTCCCTCATGGGTCAAACGTTGCAAATGGCAAGGCCATCTCTCCTCTGAGCACCTATTTTCTTCTCTTGTTTGTTTGTTTTTAAGCTTTCTCAGAATTGAAAAAGAAAATTAAAGAAAAGGGCGAAAGAACAAGATTCCTGGAAATATTTGTATCCTAGGACATTGGAATTTCTTTCGGAGGCCCACTGGGAATATCTGATTGTGTCTGAAAGTGGCTGGCATTGTTTGTTGGTGTTGTGTGCCATCAAATCGCCTGCAACTCTAAGCGACTCTCTGTACAATAGCTCTGAACCCTGGTCTATGTGAGCCAATCTCACTGTCTTTGACATACCTGCTGCCGTACCCCAAGTTACTGGGGTAATCCATCCTACAACCTTGCTTATCAGAGTGTGGCAGGAGGACCAGGAGCATCGCATCATCTGGAAACTTATAGCCCACATCTCCGGAGTGACTGATAGAACACAGCAGTAGCGACCGTGTGCAAGTTCCAGCCAGGGTCATAAATACCACTGCAACCACTGCCTCTTGGGTGGCTGGCTCTGGGGGAAGCTGCCCACCAAGCCCTGAGGACTCAAAGGGGCCCTGACATGGAGAAGAGCTGGGGCCTCCTGCCAACAGCCAGCACCGACTTGCCCATCATCATGTGAAACAAATTGCCTTGTAAGTAGTTTCTCTTGCTCATTCCAGCCTTCGTATGACAGTAGGCCTAGGTGAACTCTGACTACAAGCTTATGAGAGATCCCAAGCCACCCAACCACCCCACCAATCATTTCTAAATGTTGGACCCACAGAAACCCTGAGAGATAATGAGTGGTTATTGTGGGTATAAGCCTTTAAATTTTGAGATTATTTGTTGCATAGAAATGGATAACAAATAGAATTTTTTAAAATATGTGTCAAATATTCATTCATTCATCAATGAGGGAAACTGATGTTTCCTATTGGATAGTGAAACTCAATCAAGAGAGAAAAGAAGAGAGTGGTAAGTATGGTGAGTGGGGAGAAAAGAAGTTGGAATAAGATAGCAAAGTTAGACACAAAACTAATGAATGCTCAGTAAAACCTTTGAGATCATCATCTGTTGAGGGATCTCACTTACACTAAACGATTTCTGCAAGGGAGCATGTAGCCCAAAGTCTGGCCCCTGATTGATAACAATGAGTCAAACGAAGGTACTTTTCCTTATGATATCAGGAGACCCAAGCAGGCTGGTGTCTGCTTTTCTCTAGTGAGATTCAACACGCACGGACCTCTGCCTCTCAGTGCTGCATTAGACGAGATGCTATCCTCCTGACCTCTGTCCTGCTCAAGCTCGTTGTGGTAGTCACTCTATCACATTGTGTCAATCCGTCTTGTTGAAGGTCGTTCTCTTTTTTGCTGAGCCCTCTACCTTTCTCAGAATGATGTCTCACTTCACTGTCCTTCCATCCAAGAAGCACTCAGGTTGTGCTTCCTTCAAGACAGATTTGTTTATTCTTTTAGTGGTCCATGAGATATTCAATACTCCTCCAAAATACTACAATTCAAAGGCATCAATTCTTCTCTTAATCATTATTCAGTGCCCAATTTTCAGAGGCAAAGGAAATAATTTAAAACATTATAGATTGGATAGGGCACACCGTTGTCTTTAAATAGACATCTTTTCGCTCTTCAGAACTTTCGAGAGATGTCCTTGCCAACAGATTTTCTCAATGCAATGCAGCATGTCTTTTGATTTCTTGACAGCTAGAACCAAAGGTTTGACATCATCTATTATGATATTGTCTATTGGTCCAGTCGTGAGGATTTTTGCCTTCTTGATATTGAGATGCAACCCACACTGAAGGCTGTGGTCTTGGATCCTCTGCAGTAAGTGCTTCAAGTCTTCTTCACTTTTTGCAAAGTTGTATCAACTGCATAATGCAGATTATGAGTCTTCTTCTATTGCCAACACCATATTCAATCAAGAAGCAAGAAAATAGCCCTGACACACACCTTCATGATGTTAACCATGCAGTGTTTCCTTGTTCTGCTCAGACAACAAATTTTTGGTCTAGGTCTAGATTTCACACGAGCACAATTAAATATTCTGGGATTCCAATTCCTGCCAATGTTATACGTAGTTTGTTATGATGCACAGAATTTATATAATCAGATGTTCATTTATGAATATTCTTTGTGTTACTCTCTATTCTAGCTTGAACATTTGAAACACATCATCATTGTTGTCAGATGTCACACAAATTCGTTCCAATTCATAGAAATCTTAAGTCCAACAGAACCAAACCCAGCCTGGTCCTGTGCCATCCTCATTAATGCTGTGACCAGGATTATAAGGTACTGTGTCAGTTCATTTCATTGGAGATCTTCCTCTTTTTTGCTGACCTTAGAAAACAAAGATTCTCACTTCTGGGTCAATTGGCAGAATCATAATAGATGGTGAGGAGATTGTTAACAGTTTTAGTTTGCTTGCCTCCACAATCAGCACTCTTGGTACCAATAGCCAGGAAATTAAAAGATTAATTGCATTGGGAAAGCTTGCTGTCAGAGATCTCTCCAAAGTACCGAAGAGCAACAATGTCAGTCTGGAGACTAAGGTGTGCCTGATACAGGCCATGGTCTTTGCCATTACTTGCTATGTATCAGAAAGCTGGACAAGGACTAGTGATGACAGAAGGAAAATTGATGCCTTTGAGCTGGGGTGCTGGAGAAGAGTATTGAATATACTATGGATGGCTAGAATAGCAAACAGGTTTGTCCTAGAGAGGGTGAGATCAGGCTGCTCCTAGGAGGCAAAGATTCTGAAGTTTCTTCTAACATACTTTGGACATGTTGCAAGGAGGAACCAGTCCTTGGAGAGGGACATCATGCTTGGGAGGGTGGAGGGACAGCACAGGAGAGGAAGACCCTCTAAGAGGTGGATTGATTCAGTGACTGGGGTAACAGGGGTAGGCCTGTCAGACACAATAAGATTGGCACAGGATAGAGCAGGGTTTAGGGCTCAATGGCACATAACAACAAAATGCTATACCAAGTGCCCAGCATTATAAAATGAGATAAACAACAGCATCAGATGTGGAAGCTATAAGAGGGCATCTCTGCATTGATTGAACCCCTTTTCCTGTCTGTTGGTAGGATGCAGATAAATAAAACAAAATTTCTGGAAACTACCATGTGACATCCATTCTACTAGGTGTTTTCCAAGCCTTGAAATACAAATCCATTCACATATTAGGCAGTCTTAAACTCTTTCAAGGATTTTTCTAAAGATTTCATATTGGTACCAAGCTATAACGCTGTATGTATTTCAGTCAGATGTGTCATTAGAGTCCGTTCTTATCACAACTTAAATCTGTTTCCTCAGGTGGTGGTTAAATCTAGCCAACATTCCTTGAGAAATTAGAGCACTTTCCCCCAAGCTTACCTGAGCTCCCCAAGATGCACATAATCTGTCCGCTCTCGATGTACAAGGAGATGTCTTTGAGGATTTGTCTGCTCCACTGTTGCCAGAAAGATGTGATGTCCCACCAAGGCCTGACACGATCACTTCAAAGAGACCCCAAGGAAAAGGCAGTATGGACCCTGCACTGCTGCTCCCCTTCCCAGCAGCCATCGCCGCTTAACCCACCTCAGTTCACCTGGGACAAGTTCCCTAATGTGTTTTGGCCTCACCATCCTCATGGCTTTGGAAGCAAGAGAGGCATCCACTTCCTAAACAACATGACTCTGGATTCTCTACGAACTTGGAGAAACGACAATAGTTATAGAAAGGCTTCAGGCCTTTAGTTCATAGGGTCACTATGAGTCGTGCTTGACTCAATGGCGATCTACAACGACATCCTCATGGCTAATGCCTGACCAGGCAGTGACGGAAGATGGCATTGTGAATGGCAAACACTGGCTGCTGCTCTGAAGTCCATGTTCTGGCCGGTAGGGACACTGCTTCTCTCTGAAGCCACGCTTGCATTCCGTCACTGACCTGGTGACACATCGTGTCCCCAAACTCCCACTCCCCAGGCCCTTTCCTGGCAGACCCACAGACAGTGGGAGGCTGGGAGCCCAGGAGACAAATGATGACAGCTAAGTGCACAGGGCAGGACGCTGCCCCACATGGTTTTGAGGTTGTTTTGTGCGGTGATAAAATAAAACTAAAGAACAGAACACATGCCATTCAACCATGTGTATGAAGATTATTTAGCACCCCACATTTTTTAACAGGTTGCAGGCCCCACCTAGGTGGGAGGAGGAAGCCCGTTTGCTTTTGTCCCTCATAGCCCAGTGGTGGCCCTCTCCCCTTTCATTCCCATCTGAGCCGCTGAAGGGGAGACTCCATCCATGTCCCTCTCCCCCACGCAGGGAGGAAAGCCAGCGGAACGAATGAGCAGTTCCCTCTGTCCACCCTTCACCAGGGGTGGAGAGGGCAGCCCGCCTTACCTGACGCTGTAGGAGACATGGAGGACACCCAGGCTGTGTCGGCACTTTGAAGCAGCCGCTTCATTACTTTCTCGTGGGGGCCTCTGGGAGCCGTTGTTTGCCTGGAGTCCCAAGGGCCCCGACGGGGTACGTGATGAGAGCTCACTCATGGCCAGCAGAGGACTGGCAGATCTCTGATGGCCCGACCCCCAGAAGGACCTTCAGCTAGGGAGTCCTCACTTACTGCCCTGCCTGCTCTTAGCTGGCCCTGGAGTCCTTCCAGTGAGGGCCTGGTGTTAGGCCTCGAATGCCATTATCTGATGTACCTTTAGTCAGCGTGTCCTTATCTTGACAGTGGGCAGAAAAGACTGTCAACAGTGTATGTTTGGATGAGGGTTTGCCAATGAGGAATGCTGGGAGAGGCAGACGGTGGCACAGACAAGGAGGATCAGAGATCAGCCTCTCTGGGAAGGAGAAAGAAAACCTCAGCACGGACGGACAGCAGCTAGGCTTCTCGGGAGCTGCCACAAGGGGCAGGTGCTGCAGGCCCCATGGCTGAGAAGACCCTAACAGAGAGAGGGCTGTGGGACGGAAATGCTCCCCAGGATGTCTTGGTGAGTGATCGTGCCCTCAGCCCGGGGGGTAGGGAGAGGGCAGGACTTTCCTTCTCTGCTCCACACCATTCTGTCTTAATTCGCTGGGACAAACAGAGAGAGAGAACTCCATCTATCTCCCAGGAGCCAAAGGCAGGCAGCCTCGGAAGTCACCTCCAGGGAAATAATGCCCTGGCATGTGATTTTTGGTTTCAGTTAACAGCTGAGCACTTAACCACTGCACCACCAGGGCTTGGGTCCAGATGCAATTTGCTTACAGAAACATCACAAAATCCAAGAGCTCTATTTAGTTCCCATTTGACTATGAGGCTATCAAGCTCAGAGCCCAATGGCTATAAAGTGATAAGATGGTAGACGGGTTTGGTGAGAACCCTGGAATATATGCTCAAAAGAAGAGTACCCTGCATTGAAAGAGCTGAGGGGAAGGTCAATTGGAAATGAATAGACAATCAGATGTTGTGTGTATTGTAATTAACAATTTGGATCAAGACATACATAGCAGATTAAGTGAGAGGAAGGAGGGGAAAGCTGTATGAATGAGTGAATGAAAAACCAATTTATGTGTGAACATTCATTCCAATTACAATTTAAAAAAATCAGATAAACTGTCCAATTAAAGAAAATAAAGCAAATGTGACTACAGCAGATGACACAAAATCCAAGGGTGGGCCAGAGAATTAGACCTCAGGCAAGTGGCCAGGAGGTGTAAGTGGGCAGTAGGTTTACTCCCCACTTGTCATGGGAGATGTTTATGAATAAATGGGCTTTGACTGAAATCGAGTTGTGAGTTATATGTAAAGGGGGATGCTCAGCTGGAAGGCAAAGAGGAAGCTTCCCACCACACACTCTCACCCATTCACCCTGTGTTTGGCAGCGTGGGGAGCGGGAGGAGGAGAAAGGTAAGAATGACTGTGGCCTTCACACCCAACTGACCCCCTGGGCTGGCCTGGCATCACTAGGAAATGATCTCAGCGGAGTCAGCAAGTCAGCACCCTTGCCTTTCACCTCTGTTGTTATTGTGTAACACTGAGTCTGAACCAACCCCTTGATGACCCTCAGAGGCAACTAATCACATTGTTGTTGTTGTTATGTGCCATCGAGTCGCCTGCGACTCATAGCGACCCTATGTACAACAGCCCTAAACTCCTCTCTGTCCTGTGCCAATCACACTGTCTCCGACACTCCCATCCCAATTATCCCAGTCACTGAATCAATTCACCTCATAGAGGGCCTTCCTCTCCTGCGCTGTCCCTCCACCCTCCCAAGCATGATGCCCCTCTCTAAGGACCGGTCTCTCCTCACAACATGTCCAAAGTATGTTAGACGGAGCCTCAGAATCCTTGCCTCCAAGGAGCCACCTGGTTTAACCCTTTCCAGGACAAATCTGTTTGTTTTCCTAGCAGTCCATGGTATTCTCAATACTCTTCTCCAGCACCACAACTCAAAGGCATCAATTCTCCTTCTATCCTCCCTGGTCATTGTCCAACTCTCTGATGCATAACAAGTGATTGTGAAGACCATGGCCTGTATCAGATGCACCTTAGTCTCCAGAGAGACACCATTGCTCTTCAGTACTTTGGAGAGGTCCCTAACAGCAGACTTTCCCATGGCAATGCGCCTTTTCATTTCCTGGCTGCTGGTGCCAAGACTGTTGACTATGGAGCCAAGCAAACTAAAGCTGTGTACAATCTCAATCTCTTCACCATCCATCCTGATGCTGCCAATTGGTCTAGTGGTGAGAATCTTTGTCTTCTTGACATTGAGCCTCAATCCATATTGTAGGCTGCAGTCCTTGACACTCTGCCATATAGAAACACATAATCATCTTTCTTCTGCAGAGCAAGTGCTAGGTTTGAACTCCATACCTTTGGATTGGCAGTGAAATTCCTTACCACTAAGCTACCAGAATTCCCTAAAAATATGGGATGCTTCAAAGTTTGTGTGTCACCCTTGCACAGGGGACCATGCTAATCTCTGTATCATTCCAATTTTAGAGTATGTGCTGTCAAAGAGAGCACTCTCAGCTCTGTAGCCACAACAAAAGAATATCATTGCTCTCTGAATAGCCCAGATGCAAGCCCCCACCAGAGGTGACTTGAGTCGGGAGATTAGTGTCTAGCTTCTGCACAGGACCTTCTGAAGTCAGGGTGGCCTTGAGGACTTTCTGTTCGGATCTGGCAAATCAGCCCCTACGGCTTGGGAGGTAAATCTGGGCTGCCCAGCACTCAGGAATACAGACAGATACTTCTGTTTCCAATGCCTTCTTCTCCAACACCCTTATTCATCATGTGTCAAACAGTGGTCTTTTCTGCCCATCAAATTTGTTGACCCTGAAATAAGGGGATGGGGAGGCCATGTATCTTGTCTAGATACTTCAAAGTTGTAAATCAAGCTTTAAAATGTGTTTACTAAAGCATTTTCTTTTCTCCTACCTTGTCGATTCAGACTCAGCACCTCCCCGTGACAGAGAACTACCCTGCAGGGTTTTCTGGACAGAAACAGGTTAACAAGGTCTTTCTCCCGTAGAGACACAGGGTGAGTTCAGAATGTCAGTTTCTCAGTCAGCAGCCAAGTGCTTAACCGTGCTCTCATCAACAACTTGGAAAGTCAAATTTAAATTGGTACGTTCTGAGTCCTTGGAGTGGTGTAAGAAACCCTGGTGGTACAGAGGTAAATGCTTGGCCACTAACTGAAAGGTGGATAGTTTGAACCTATCAGCTGCTAAGAAGGAGAAAGAACGTTTACCTCCCAAAAGGTTAAAGCCCTTCAGGGCAGGTCCCCTGTCCCATGGGGCGGTTGAGGCAGGCCCCCCCATCCCATCGGGCAGTTGAGACAGCCTCCCTCGTCTAGTGGGGTGGTCAAGGGAAGCCTCCCTGTCCTGTAGAGTCCTATGGGGTGGTTGAAGCACATCTCCCATGGGGCAGTCCAGGCAACCCCCCTGTTCTGTGTGGTGGTTGAGGCAGACCTCCCTGTTCTGTGGGGCAGTCCAAACAGGTCTCTCTGTTCTGTGGGGGTGGTTGAGGCAGACCTCCCTGTCCTGTGGGTTTAGAATCCACTCACTGATAGTGAGTTTGATTTGGTATTTCTCTGAGTTATAGGGTGTATGGCATGAGGGGTTGACTTCCAGCTCAAGCTCACAACCTACCCCTTTTTCTGTCCACTTTGGCTATATCTTACTACTCTCCTGTGTGGGCCACCCAGCCTTACCTTTCAAATTCTAGCCATGCCCTGCACAAACAGCTGCCATTCTGCCCTAAAATGCCTACCCAGGCAGCATGTCTCCCTCAGGAGGAGGCAGGCCCACACAGGGCCTGGCGGTGGGTTCTAGGGACTGAGGGCCCTCCTCTGTGAGCACAGCCAAGGGGGTTCGTTTCCTCCGAGAAGAGGAGCCTAATGAGCCTTTCTCTGCCCTCCTGCTTAGCAGCTGTGTGAATTTGAGCGAGTTTCTGACCCTCATCTGTAAAACAAGGATTACACTAGTGTTTCCACTGCATGTTCACAACAAGGATTGAACAAAATAATAAGTATAAAGAAATTTACATAGTTTCCTTGATATAAGTCCTTGGAAAGTTATTTGTAAATTATTTTTTCCTCTGGGTTTGTGTTTTATTTCTGTGAGAAGTTCAGGCCTTGACTGCTTGTTTCCGCAGTGGGATGCAGGCGGTCTTTCTGCTGCCACTTCTTGGTCTTCAGTTTCTCCTCATGCTTTTTGAGCCTTTGTTGCAAGACAAGTGTTTTCTTGGGCTACAGATCTACGGTTTTGTAATTCCTGTCCTTACAAAACTTTCTGAGGTTCTCCCTCTGAGCCTGGTTGATAACAAGGAGACCACGGGCAATGGACTTTCGGACAACTCAGATTTTGCAGAGCGTGGAAGCCACACCACCTGTCACTCTGGTGACATGCAGCTAGGAAAGCTCCACCTTCACATCATCCAGCTGCTTCAACAGCTCCTCCTTCTTGTCATGAAGGTCTGAGCCTTAATTTTGGCCATGGTTGAGTAATAGAAGCCTGCTGCTGCTTATCCTGTAAATTATAATTATTACTTAGTACCTAAGACATTTGCTGCAGAAGATCAAGGACTGTCTTTAATATGAACTGAAGCTCAATATCAAGAAAACAAAGATTCCCCCCCCCCCAGGGCCAATTGGCAGCACCATGAAAGATGGAGAAGAGACTGATATTGGTCACAATTTCATATTGCTTGGTTCCACAATCAACACTCTTGGCATCAGCAGTCAGGAATTGAAAGACTAACCACATTAGAAAAATCTGCTGTCAGGGACCTCTCCAGACTGCTGAAGAGCAACAGTGGTCAGTCTAGAGACTGCAGTGCGCCTGATCCAGGCCATGGTCTTTGCAATTACTTGCTATGCATCAGAGAGCAGGACAATGACTAAGGAAGACAGAAGAATTGATCCCTTTGTGTTGTGGTGCTAGAGAAGAGTATTGAATATACCTTGAGCTTCCAAAAAAATAAACAGGTCCATTCAGGAGAAGGTGAAACCAGGCAGCTTTCTGGAGGCAAAGATTTTGAAGCTCTATCTGACACACTCTGGCCATGTTTCCAGGAGGGACCCGTTCTTCGAGAAGGACATCATGCTTGGAACGGTGAAGGAACAGTGCAGGAGAAAGGGACCCGGATGAGATGTACTGACACAGTAACTAGGATAATGTGAATAGGTGTTTTGGCGACAGTGAGACAGACTCAGGAGAGAGCAGGGTTTTGTACATAGGGTTCCTATGAGTTACAGGCAAATCAAAGGCACATTACAACAACAAGAGAAGTACCCAGGAGTCGGGGCAGAGCTGGTATACAATGTAGTTTGAATATTCTAGTGAAGGCGTAGACTCATCCCCTCAGCCAAAATCCCCATGTCCTCCAGCATCCTGGCCGTGAGGCCTCAGCACATGGGCAGGCCTGGGCACAAAGCATGTCTATGCTTCTTGAGTTTCCTTTAGTCTGTGATTTTGACTCAGAAATTTGATCAGAAGTTAATACAAGGAGAAATGACAATGTAGCCCAGCAGGAGCCGAGCTGGTTACCTACAAATAAAGCAGCTTTTGCTTTTTTGGGTGTCACCTGTCAGGAAATCAGGAGATGTTCTGACAGTCATACTGATTAAGATGTCAGCCGAGTAGATATTTAAGTATTTGAAAAATACAGAGACTTTGTCAAAACCTCAGGAAGAGTCTAACAAATCCTTCCTGGGAGCCAAGAAAATATTTCAGAATGGAAGCCTCCCCACTCAGGAGTCTCTGAAAGTTGAGTTGCTCAGGCAGCTCCCAGGAGGCACAGCACCTTGCAAAGTGCCTGGGGCCTGTGAAGCCCCCACGGGCACTCAGTCACGGGAAGGGAGGTAGATTCGCAGGAGACCTTCAGAGCAGGGAGCCCGTCCTTCATCCCTTGCTTTTCTCAGTCTCCTTCTGGCCCCTCCACCTTCTCAAAGCACAGCTATAGACCCCTCCACTTATTTCTCGAGACCCCAAAAGGGCCAACCTTCCATATTCAGCTGTTCCCCACCCCTGAATTTAGCCAAAGGAGCTCTGGGGCTTAATGGTAAAGAGCTGGGCTGCCAACCCAAAGGCAGACAGTTAAAATCTACCAGCTGTTTCAAAGAAGAAAGATGGGCAGTTTCCTCCCTTGCGATATCCAGCCTCTGCGAACCTACTGAAGGGTCAGCTCTAACCTTTCAGGGGTCACAAGGTTCTGACTCAGCAACACGTACCAATAACAAATCTAGCCAGGAGCTTTTGGCCAGCGAGTAATGTCTGAGCTAACTTGTAATCTCACAAAGCAAGCAAACAAACACAATCCCAGTCTCTGTTGAGTGTCTTTCTGTCGGTGGCACCCTCACTGTGTCTGAGGGGAGCCGGGCTCCAGAGGGTCTTCCGAGGCTGATTTTTCAGAAGATCACTAGCTTCAGAACTCCACATTTGGAGTTAGCGGCGGAATGCTTAGCCATTCACAGCACTCAGAAAAGACTGTAATCTGACAGCTGCGGAGACACCGAGCAGATAGAGAGTTGCACTACGACCCAAAGGCCACTCCCTCTGGGAGTTCGAATCCAGCAGCCATCCTGAGGCAGAAAGAGGATCCACCTCCTCCAGAGTGATTCATAGGAGAGAAAGCCTGTGGAGGGTCCACTAGGAGCCAGATCCTACTCTTCACCAATGAGTTGAGTTGAGTTGAAGTGACTCATGATGGGCATTTGCATTTAAAACTAGATAAACACCACTAGGATCTTTGTTAGCCCACATGTATCTCGGAAAAGGAATAGAATTTTTAGTAATTTACCACCAGAAAATGGAGAACTGAGCAGTGTGTGCGACAATGGTAGAGGTGGTAAGAGCGAGTCGGGGCTGCCGAGAGAGAGCCAACCCGTCCAGAGCTCAGCAGCGCCCCAGACGGCTCTCTGGTCTCCCCAGGAAGCATCATTCCCCATCTCAGAGGGCGCAGACTCTCCAACCTTCCCATCCCACTCTCACTCCTGCATCGACTGCAGATCAGTGGCCTTCACATCATTTCTGACTCCCGACAGCCCTCCCCAGAGTTTCTCAAGCTGTGAATCTTTACAGCAGGAGATTGTCCACCTTTTTCACTAGGAGCTGCAGGTGGATTTGAACCACTGATCATAGGTGCCATCGAGGTCAAGAGAGCTAACATCCTGGAATAATCTTCTCCCTGGGGGACTCTCTAAATATGAAGTAGTTCAGTCAAAGGGGTGAATAGTGAGCTCCCATGGACCCACTCAAAACAATAATCACCGATTACCTTGAAGATCCTCATTGAACATACTCCCTTCAGACTCTTCCTTCTCTCCAGAGATCACCCTTCCCTCATATGTATCTTCCTGCATTTCTCTGTATAATTTTGGAAATTTTTGGTAATAGTTCAAACATTAAATTAAGTGATGATGGTACGCGTCTGGACCGTCCTGGAGGCCTGAGGACTGCTCGCTGTGAGTCCATGGCACGTGGTGCTGGTGCTGTTAGGCGCCCTTTTACCAGAAAGGCCTCATAGCAGCTCAGTGGAGCTTGACCTTCCCGGTGCCTCGGTCACCAGCTCCATCACGCTCGGTCAAGTCCATTGCTGCGGTCACTGTGCCAGTGCACCTCATGGAGGGTCTTCTTCTTTTCTGTTGATCCTCAACCTTTCCCAGCATGATATCTTTTCCCAAGAACTGGCCTCTTCTCTTTATTTTGTTATTTTAATGAACATTTACAGAGAAGTTAGATTTTCATTCACTCCTTGTTGCACATTTTACCCCCTGGCCATTTCTTTCCCCTCTCTAGTTCACTTCAAAAAACAACAACAACAAAAATATTCATTCACTGGTATGGCCTAGTGGCAAAAAGCTGTGTTGCAATCCCGAAGGTGTGCAGTTTGAGGCCACCAACTGCTCCACGGGAGAAGGATGGGCAATCTCCTCCTGTGCGATTAACTGCCTCTGAAAAGCCGCCCGGAGGGTCAGCTATGGGTCGGTCCCAACTTGACGGCACACAACAACAACAACATTCATTGTTCTTCAATTACCTACCTCCTCCAACCCCAGTCCTCTTTGCAATGATATAGCTCTTATTGCAGGCTGTTGTCATACGTATAATGCCTAATCATATATTAATTTCAAGACAGTTCTTTCTTTCATCAGTTCCAATGCAGTGGTCATTATCTATCCACTCTTATTCTATTCTCCTTCCAACCCCCCATGTCAGACCTGCTTTGTAACAGTGGTGCTATGCAGTATTTGTCCTTATGTGACTGAGATATTTCACTTTTAAAGAGAACTCTAGTGACCTAGTCATTAGGGAGTTGTTCTGCCAACTCAAAGGTGAGTGGATCACCCCATTAGCTGTTCCACAGGAGAAAGATGGTCATGCAATTTTACACAAGGAGTCCCTGTGCTGATGTTGTTGTTATGTGAAGTCGAGTCGCTTGTGACTCATAGTGACCCTATGTACAACAGCCCTAAACCCTGCTCTATCCTGTGCCAATCACACTGTCTCTGACATTCTCATTCCGATTACCCCAGTCACTGAATCAATCCACCTCATAGAGGGCCCTCCCCTCCTGTGCTATCCCTACACCCTCCCAAGCATGATGTCCCTCTCCAAGGACCGGTCTCTCCTTGCAACATGTCCAAAGTATGTTAGACGGAGCCTCAGAATCCTTGCCTCCAAGGAGCCACCCGGTTTAACCCTCTCCAGGATGAATCTGTTTGTTTTCCTAGCAGTCCATGGTACAGTCAATACTCTTCTCCATCACCACAGCTCAAAGGCATCAATTTGCCTTCTATCCTCCTTAGTCATTGTCCCACTCTCTGATGCATAACAAGTGATAGCAAAGACCATGGCCTGTATCAGATGCACCTTAGTCTCCAGAGAGAAACCATTGCTCTTCAGTACTTTGGAGAGGTCCCTAACAGCAGACTTTCCCACGGCAAGGTGCCTTTTAATTTCCTGACTGCTGGTGCCAAGAGTGTTGACTGTGGAGCCAAGCAAACTAAAGCTGTGAACAATCTTAATCTCTTCACCATCCATCCTGATGCTGCCAATTGGTCCGGTGGTGAGAATCTTTGTCTTCTTGACATTGAGGCTCAATCCATATTGGAGGCTGCAGTCTTTGACCCTCTGCAGCAAGCGCTTCAGGTCCTCCTCAGTTTCAGCAAGCAGGGTTGTGTCATCTGCATAACACAGATTGTTGATAGATCTTCCACCAATCTTGACTCCACATTTCTCCTTATAGAACCCAGCCTCCCAGATGATCTATTTGGCATACAGGTTGAAAAGGTATGGAGACAGGACACATCCCTGGCATACGCCCTTCCCAATTTTGAACCATGCAGTGTTAAAATGCTTGGCTGCCAATAAGATGACTAGAAGTTTGAGTTCACCCAGAGGTACCTCAGACGAGTGGTTTGGTGATCTGCTTCTGAAAATTCAGCTGTCAAAAACCCGTGGAATCTGATTCTCCTGGGACACATGTGGTTCATCCTATGTCAAATCACTTCAATGGCAACTGGGTTTTGTCGGCTTGTTCTTATGTTTTTACACTGGTTATCTCTTGTGAGGCACGTGTGCTCATGGAGCCCATTTGCTTTACCCTCCATCCAGATCTGTCCTGCTTGTTAAAATCAAAGCTCCTGGAGGGCTGGTTTGGTTTTTTCTCTCCTTTGTATCCCAAACGTTACACCTGGAGCACAATGTGAGCTCCCAATGAGCATCTGTTGGGTGCTTGGTTGGTTGGCAGAAGGAAGCATCAGATTGAGACATGACTTTGCTGAGAGGGAACCAGAGACCATGGAAGTTGTTGATAAATGTATACACACTTCTGCCTGCAAGAGAAGCAGGAAAAAAGTGGGAAACATTAGACCCTGAGTCCTTAATGGTTAGATTTTTCTTTGTCCAAGACTCAAAGATTTTTAAAAAAAAAAGGATTGATAAGACAGAAGAACCTAGGGAGCTCTGGTGGCCCAGTGGCAAGAAGCTGCACTGCAATCCCAGAGGTACACAGTTCGAATCCACCAGATGCTTTGCTGGAGAAGGAAGGACAATCTCCTCCTGTACCAGCCAGATCTGATTTGATGGTACACACACAAAAAATAATAAAATAAATTTTAAAAAACCAAACAACAAAACAGAAGAACCTTTCAATTAGATATAGAATTCGGATCTGCAGATGGTTAGTACCAAAGGTATCAATTAATACACTTGAACATTGATTTATATGGTATGTAATGAAATCTGTGAAAGCTGGAACTCAACAGAATGGCTTTGTTTCTGCAGGTCTCATAAGGTTTTCCCCTTGACAGAACACAGTCTTAATGCTCTTCTGTCTCTCTTTTTGTGAAAAATATTTGATGTTTTCTTCTCTGATGGATTTCTGCCTTACACAGGCTCTGGCTTTTGTAGTTTTATTGTACATTCAAATATAATAACTACAGCAATAATAATTTAACAATGATGTGTAGGTGAGAGACTTCCTCTGAAATTGCCAAGAGCAGTTTCAGTGGCTTTGTTGTGCATGACTCCTCATCAAAATGGGTATGTAATACTTGTCATTATGAAATATTAGCTCAGAACCAGCAAAGATTAAACTAATGTTCAGGACTGGTGAGCACTCAGCTCTGACCCTCAGCTCAGAGGTCTTCTGTCCTTCTGCCCAGGGTCTCAGCTCCTCCCCATGGCTTCCTCCCAATCAAGAGTGCCTCCCCATTAGTCCTCTCCACAGTTTCCTTTCTATGGGCTCATTCTGCATGAGTTTACCTCCTGGGCTCCTCCCCATGGGCTCTTCCCATGAGTTCCTCCCCCTAAGTCCTCTCCATGGACTCTCCACACAGATTCTCCCCATGAGTTCCTCCCAATGGGTTCGTCCCATGTGTTCACCCTCATGTGCTCCATCCATGAGTCCTCTCATGAATTTCTCCCCATGGGATCATCTCCATGTGTTCCACCTTCAAGTCCTCCCCATGAGTTCTTCCCATGGGCTTCCCCCATCTTGTGCTCATCTCCACAAGTCATCCCCATGGGCTCCTCCCATGAGCTCATCCCCATGAGCTTTTCTTCATGGGTTTGTCACCATGTGTTCTTCACATGGGCTCATCCCTGTAAGTCCTCCCCATGAGTCACTCCCCATATAGTCCTCCCTGTGTGATCCTCCTCCTGGGCTCTGTTGCTCTGGGTCAGGCTCTGGATGCTTAGAGCTGGGTTCTCTGGAGCCAGGAGTTATACTGTGAGAAGCTCCAGAGCCTGCTCTGTCAGGCAAGGGAGACCTCTCCTAACCTAATTTCCTCAAAGCCCTTGGGTCTCAGCTGTACAAGCCTGTCTCTCACTCACCAAGAAGGGGCCTCACCCACACTACTGCTCTCCCTACCATCTTCTCCAGCATTCTCAGCGGCTTCTGGAGGAGTCACTCACCTGTCATGTCTCCCACCAGGGCCTCCAGGACAGCTTGTTCTCTTCGGAAAATGACAACAGCCTCTACTTCACCTACAGTGGCCAGTCTAACACCCTGGAGGTTCGAGACCTCAGCTACCAGGTAGAATCACAATGGATTTAAACCTAAGCAATGAGTAGTGGGGTGGGGTGGGGGGAAGTAAAGTCACTTCCCAGTGCAGGGGACAGCGCAACATCCGTGAAGTCCTGTTGCCCCCAAAGACAGAGTGAGAGACAGAATCCAGCCCACGCTTGTCCCTCATATGCCTACGCCAAGCACCGAGTGACTGTCCTTGTTTATCAGCTGCAGCCATTGTAACTGGAGGTCGGGAAGCATACAAGGATAAAAACTCCTTTTCACTGTGTCTGTTCTGACGCATAAGCTGAGCCCATCTGGTCTCAGAGGAGATTGCTCATCTTTCTCCTGTGGAGCTGCTGGTGGGTTCAAAACCCCAGACAGGTGCAGCCTTTGGGTTGGCAGCACCACTCACTGGGCCACCAGAACGCTGTAAACAAAACAAACCAACAGGAAAACCCAGGAGAAATGGGCCTTGGTTAAAATTTAAAGCCAAATGCGTGAGTCTATATGGGGCAACAAATCCCTGCACAGGCATGCCTCAGTAATACTGTGGGCTTACTTCCAGACCATCATCGTAAAATTACTACCATAATAAACCAAGTCACACTTTGTTTTTGGTTTCCCAGTGCATATGAAAATTCCATTTACATTATTAAGGATGTTCTAGTGGCACTGTGGTTAAGGCATTTGGCTGCTAACGAAAGGACCCCTCAGCCACCTCATGAGAGGATGAGCTGTCTCTGACTTTGTAAACGTTTGTAGCCTTGGAGATTTGAGGGCTAAATCTCTGTCCTGTAGCATCACTAGAGCTGAAATTAACGCAGTTTATGGGTTTGACTTCAGGTCTGGTAATTTAGGAAGAGTACAAGAAAATTTTTTCAATATTTGAAAGATCTTGAGAATTACCAAAGTATTATGTGAGCACATGCTATTGAAAGAATGATGCTGATAGGTCTGTTTGGTGAACAGTTGTCACAAACTCTTCATTGGTAAAAAAAAAAAAGTGGTATGTACAGAGTGCTTATAATAAATAAAGCAAAGCACAATGAAAAAAGATGTACCCATAGGGGTTTCACATTATATTTTAAAATAATTTTAGACTTTTGGAAGATGCAAAAATAACACACAGACTGCCTATGTATCTCTGTTCTTGCTTCCTCTAATGCTAACATGTTGCACAAATGCAACACATTATTATGAACTAAGAAATTTACAATAGTATTAGTAAGCTATAGACTTTATTTAGATCTCATCAGTCTTTCTTCCATTTTTAAGTTATACAATGTGCTGTCCCTGGAATTAACAGAGCATCCAGGGCACAGTGATCTCAGGTCTTGTAAAGGCTCTCAGAAATTGCTTGAGAAGATCTGGGATGTCTGTTCCTCCCCAAGGGCTAATCACAGGTGGCGCAGATTTAACCAGGAAGCAGGGTGGTGAATCTCAGAGGCCTCAGGTGAAGCTGCTGAGCCACACATAACCTTCCTCTGCTCTCCCACTTCACTTCTGTGTGACCTCAAGCAAGTTACTTAACTACGCTAAGCCCCACCATAAAATAGGGATTATGTTGCAGTTACATGCTGTCTAGTCAGAACCAACTCATTTCTGACCCTCCAGCCAACTTTCACAGGCTCTAAGTCAGCCTGGAGGAGATTGCCCATCTTCTGTGGAGAAGCTGTTGGATTCAAACCACTTGCCTTTGAGTTGGCAACACAGCTTTTTCCCCATTAGGTCACAGAACTTCGCCAAACAGAAATAGTAGTACCTATGTTTGCTGCAGGTATGTTTTCAGGAGGGCCCAGTGCTTGGAAAAAGACTTTATGTTGGGAAAGGTGGAGGGTCAGAGAAAGAGAGGAAGACCTTCACCAAGATGGACTAACACAGTGACTGTAACAATCTCAGACATCATGAGGACGGTACAGGATAAGGCAAGATTTAGATGTGTTGATCATAGGATCTCTGGGAGTCATAGTTGACTGATGGTACCTAACAACAACAACAACAACAACAACAACAACAACAACAACAACATGTTGCCAATTTGCATTTGATTGAACAAGATAGTGGATATGCAACAGTTGACATAATGCTTTATACATACATAAAAGAAGTACTCAATAAATGATTCAACTCAGCTCATTAACATCAAGTTGGAACTGAGTCATAGCTGCCCCTCCAGGGGCTGTGAACTGCAGGGGAGGAGACTGCCATCCTTCTGTGGAGCCGCCCTGGTGGGTCCAAATAGCCAGAGAGGTGCTGCCTTTGGGTCAGCACCGTGCTCCCTGGAGAGAAGGCCACTCGTAATGAATTACTAGATTGGGGTCACTATGCAATGAGGATTTTGTTTTAGATCGTGTTTTTGTTTTTGTTATGCTGTTGCACTTGCTTTCTATTCTCCTTTCTTTCACACTTGGAAATGAGCTTCTGGTTCTCAGCAAGGCTGGGTTCTCAGCCTTCACGTTTGGTAGGATCTGTGGGGTGGGGAATGGAGGGAGGAGGTTGTGCCTGTTTGGCGTTGCTAAGGGGTGTCCCCTGTAGAGAGAGGCCATATACTGGGCGCTGGGCACCAGTGGACTTGATGGAAATCACTGAAGACCTGTGATCATCTCTTTGAGGAACCTTCTGATATTTCCCCACAGGTGAATATGGCCTCCCAGGTGCCTTGGTTTGAGGCTTTGACTCAGTTAAAGGTGCCTTGGATGTCACACAAAAGCCGGGACTCTTGTGAGCTGAGCATACAGAATCTAAACTTCAAAGTAAAAAGTGGGCAGATGCTGGCCATCATCGGGAGTTCAGGTACTGCAAGCACATCGCGGGGCAATGCTGTCTCTCTGTTGGGAGGACGAATGCTCCCTTGGTTGAGTGGCTGCTTCTTACAGAGCTCTGTGACTCATGGGATGCAGCAGAGTGAGGATCAAGACCTGGGTTCAAATCCAAGCTCCTCCATATACTAGCCCTCAGGTAGTTGCTGTTTCTGTGCAAGAAGAACATGAGTGTGCTTCTTGTCTGCCTGTAGTTGCAGGTCTTCAGGGAACCTTGATGTTGGTGGCCTAGTGGTAAGAAGCTGTGTTGCAGTCCCAAAGGCTGGCTCAAATCCACCAGCTGCTCAGTCGGAGAAGGGTGGGCAATCTCCTCCCATGGGGTTTACTGCCTCTGAAAGTCTGCTAGTGGGTCAGCTACAGATTGTTTCTGACATGCTAGCACACAACAACTACATTGAAATAAGGCACAACCCTTTCTTTTCCAGGATGAGGCAATTTTGAGCTGAGCATCATTTTCAGGGGACTCCTCCAGCCAGCAGGGGCGCTCATGCAAAATGCTCCTTCACAGCTTCCTGGTTAGGGTCAGACAGTGGAGAGACACAGCCCTCACTCCAGCTCTCACTTCTCAGCCTCTTTAAATTTCACAGCAACAAAGTCACTGCCACAGGCCACATTTAAGATTCTAGAATGTCAGAGCTGCAAAGGGATGCAGCGAACAGTGCATCCTCTCCCCCTTTTATGTCACCTTCAGTTCCTCTCCTAGTTTAGAAATCATTCCCTCTACTTTATTTCTGGCGTTTACCCTTTTCAACATGGACATTGCCATCTAAATCCAACCGACATCTCTGTGCAAAACACGGAAAGATCCAAAGACCGCTTCTCACAAAACACAGTCTTCTGATTGTGTGGAATGTTTATATCCTCTTTGCTTTTTTGGTAACTCCACTAGTTAAAACCATATTTATACCACTAATGTTTGCTTAAATTTACCTTTCCTTTTTCTTTCATGATTTCTTCTTCTGTTATATGAACCATCTTCCCCACATCCAATTCTTTTCTTCTTAAAACTGGTAATATAACAATCTGCTGGTTGTAAATTCCTTTCTTATTTAGTTGAAAATGCTTTTATTTTACTAGTTTTTGACTAATGGTTCAGCTGAGTCAACAATTCTAGGCTGACATTCAATATTGCTCAGCACTTTGAAAACATTATTCCAATGAGAAGTCTGTTACCGATCTAATTGGTTTCTTTGTAGATAACTGTTTTGGGGTGTCTTTTGTTTCTCTGTTTGATTGTAAGATTTTGTTTTTGCAATTTCATTTATATATGTAAGTGTGTGTTTATTTGTATTTCTTTAGATCCTGAGTCTGAGAACTCACATTTTCCTTTAGTGTTAGAAAAAAAATCAGTATTATTTCTTCATACATAGTTGTTCTTTATTCATTTGTTCCTTTCGTGTGTCATACAACTGGTTCCTCTCCTCCTGTTTGAGATACAAACCCAGAGACTCAACAGAGAGAAACTGTGAGAATCCACTTGACGGCACTGAATTCTAGTCCTTTTGATTCCTACCACTGCTTTAACTTTTCTTATACATTTTTCAATCTCATTACCTCTATGCTAATTCTTAGTAAATGCTATAAATTTCATGTTCAATTAATTCTCTCTCTTTTTAAAAATTGAATTCAACAGTTATTTACTGAGTATCTAGTGGTAAGAATCTGTGCTGCAATCCCAAAGGCACATGGATTAAATCCACCAGCTGGTGTTGGAGAGATAGATGGGCAATCTCCTCCCACGTGATAACTACCTCTGAAAACCTGCTGGATAGTCAGCTGTGGGTCGGTTCTGATTCAACGGTACACACAACATTGTTCCAGATACTTGGAACTCATCAGACAGCAAACAGATCCTTGCCTTCATGGAACTTGTTATTGTTTGGTGCTGTTGAGTCACCTGCAACTCATAGCCACCCTATGCATAATAGCTCTGAACCCTGCTCCATCATGCGCCAGTCTCACTGTTTCTGGTACACCTATCCTCATTACCCCTGTTATTGTGTCAATCCATCTCATCTGGGGTCTTCCTTTCCTACACTGTCCCTCTATCCTTCCAAGTATAATGTCTTTCTCCAAGGACTGGTCCCTCCTGGCAACAGGCCAGAGTCTGTAAAAATCCTTGCCTATAAGGAAGAACTTGGTTTCATCCTCTCCAGGGACAACTTATTTGTTCTCTTGGGAGTCCATGGAACATGCAATACTCTTCTCAAGCCTCACAACTCAAAGGCATCGATTCTTCTGTCATCCTTAGCCATTGTCTAGATCTCTGATGCCTAAGAAGTAATTGCAAAACCATGGCCTGCATCAGGCTCTCCTTAGTCTCTAGACTGACATTGTTGCTTCTCATTACTCTGGAGAAGTCCCTGACAGCAGATTTTCTCAATGTAATTAGTTTTTTGAATTCCTAACTGCTGGTGCCAAGAGTGTTCATCGTGGAACTGAGCAGAGCTAGCTGAAACTGTTAACAATCTCAGTCTCCTCTCCACCTATCATGGTGCTACCAAATGCCCCCGTGGTTGGAACCTTTGCCTTTTTGAAGTTGAGCTTCAATCCATATTGAAGACTTCAGTCCTTGACCTTGGCTGGAGCAAATGCTTCAGGCCAACCTCAGTTTCAGCAAGCAAAGTTGTGTCATCTGCATAATACAGTTGATGAATCTTTCTTTGATCCTGATGCTAACCTTCCTCCTCATAAACCCCAGCCTCCCAGATGATCTGTTTCACATATGGATTGAAAATGTAGGAGATAGGACACAACCCTGGCACACTCCTTTTTTTATTTTTAACCATGAAGTGTTTCCTTGCTGTGTTCTGACCATTGCTTTCTTCTAGTCCAAGTATAGATTTTTCAGGGGCACAATCAGGTGTTCTGGGATTCTCATTCTTCTGAAGGTTAGCCACAATTAATTGTGATACACACAATCAAATGCCTTTGCATAGTTAATGAAACACAGACATTCCTCTGGTACTCTGTTGTACTTTTTCAGCCAACATCCATCTGAATTGCCTATGTTGTTCGTAGTGCCACAACCTCTTCTAAACCCAGCTTGTATTTTCAGTAGTTCTTTGCCTATGTACTCTTCCAGTCATTTTTTGGTATAATTTTCAGCAGGATTGTGTGTGTGTGTGTGTATGTGTGTGTGTTATTTGTGATATTGTTTGATAATTTCCATACTTTGTTGGATCAACTCTTTTTGGAATCTGAATAAATATTAATTTCTTCCCGTGAGTTGGCCAGGTCCTCCAGATTTATTGGTACAACTTGGTGAGCACGTCCAGGGTAACATCTTTTTGTTGAAATATGTCAATTGGTATTCCATCAATTCTTGGGCCTTGTTTTTGCCAATTCCTTCAGAGAAACTTCAACTTCCTCCTCCATCACCATTGCCTCTAGATTATACATTGTTTCATTAAATTCTTCTGTATTAGCCAGTTCTTCTTGGTACTATGACTCTGTATACTCCTTCCATCTTCTTTTAATGTTTCCTGGATCATTCAATATTCTGCCCATCCTTGTTGCACCCATAAGTATTGCAACTTGAGGCTTGAATATGTTATTCGGTTCCTTCAGCTAAGATATGCCAAGCAAGTTTGTCCCTTTTGATATTCTAACTTCAACTCTTTGCACATTTGATTATAATACATTGTTTTATCTTCATGAGCTTAGCTTCTCAGAGCTCTAGTGCAATATTCAGTCTTCTGACACCCATCTTGGTCTTCTCTTCCTCTCTGTCTTTGTAATGACCCTCTGAATTCTTCAAGGATGATACTCTTTATATCCTCCCACAGCTCACCTGGAAGCATTCCTTACCACTTCAGTTGCACACTGACCTGGGCAAGCCTGTACTTCTTTGTGTTTCAGCTGAAAAATGGGAGGACTATGCAGACCTAGCACAGGCATGGGCTAACAAGCCAAGCAAGACCCTTGTCCCTCACCTCAGCCTATCCCTTAGGAAGTGGATAGGGCCACATGCTGACTTTTTATAAGAAAGCACACTGCAAATAGAGCTTTGGAACTGGCTTGTCTGCTGTGCACTGGTGGCGGTGGTGGTGGCAGAGGTGGTGGAAGGGCTGTGCAGGGCCGATGATGGCCACACAAGCCATTGATGCTGCAGTGTCTCAGTGGCTGCCTTGTTGCCGAGGTTCTTGGCCTTCTCTGTAGCTGTCTCTGCTATCTCCTGGGACTTGACTTTGGCTTCATTGGCAGTTTCAACAAGTGTCTTAGAAGGGGCTTCACCTTGTAGCTTGGCCAAGATGTGTTCAAACCTTTCATAGTCTTGGTCACATTTCTTTTTCTTTTCTTTTCTTCTCTTCTCTTTTCTTCCTTCCTTCCTTCCTTCCTTCCTTCCTTCCTTCCTTCCTTCCTTCCTTCCTTCCTTCCTTCCTTCCTTCCTTCTTTCTTCCTTTTATTTTATATTGGTTTGCTGACAACGTTCACATACATTGTGTTTCACAGTATCCTTCATTCACATTGGGCCATGCTGCTTTTAAATCAAGCCAGACAAAATTCCTGGGCAGCTCTGGACACATCAAACAAGCTTGAGAAGGTGCACGCTTCTCAGCAGATTTCAGTCCAACAGCCTTTATCAGAGTTCACACAGTAAACACAGCATTCCTCCACCACCATCAGCCAGACGTGGTTGATGTTCCAGGTGAAGTTGATCATGATCTGATTCCATGGTTCCGCAATACAGTCCTCCAGGATGGACACTGAGTGAGGAACACTGGCAGGAAATAGTGGCTCAGCCCAGCGAGGCATCCTGTTGGATTTAGTCAGGAGTCCTTGGGACAGGAATTTCTGGTTGAGGGAAACCTCCCAGTGCACTCTTTTCTGTCAAGACATGTTTGTTGTAGGGATTTGGGGACTGCTGATAAAAGGCAGCAAGCATTTGGTCCCAGGAACTCCAGCGTGTGCTGGGGTCCAGGAAATAGTTCACCATCACCCAGGCCCAGAAGGGCTCAGCACCAGGAGTGTGGAGCTGGGGCGCCAGGGCTGGGCACACACGCCTGCCAGGCTGGCTCAGGGCCTCAGCTGGTCCAGTTCATTCTTTCTTCAGTTGTGTCTAAGCCTCTGAGTTGTTGTTGTTAAGTACCGTAGAGTCGTAGGCGACTCATAGTGACTCTATAAATGAAAGACCTGAACGCCTGTATAAAGACCTGTATAACTTTCGTCCTTTCTCTAGGTTCATAAGGTGTCTAGAGGCAAGCTATTACGGAAGTAGATGCCACTCCTGCTTCCAAGCTTGTTTTAACTGGGGAGCTCCACCAAACACTGTCCACCATAGGTCTTGCATTTGACTCATGGCTTATTTTACATTTTGGATTCAAACTGAGTGCCTTTGGGACTCTAGGGCAGATTCTTATCACTAGGTCACCAGCGTGCCCTATAATAAAATTTAGTTCCTAGAAATTTGACCTGTTTCCTTTTCAAATATGCCTAGATTGCTTTGGTTTGTTTTTTCAAATATACACAGTTTTGGTGTTTAATTTTAAAAAAAAAAAAATCATGTATTGTTCCATGCTCATGCTGGAACACTCTTTAATGAAAACTTTTCCCTTTTATCTGATAAATACTCTAGTTAAAGATTGCCTTTGCCAGCCTTCTCAGTGCACTACCACACTTGCAGCCCCTGAGTGGATCCTCACTCAGTACCTCTCCACTGGATTTCAGAAGGTAAATCTTAAAGGGAAAAGATTGCTAATTTTTCTCCTGCAGTGAGGTTGGTGGATTCAACCCAGTGACCTTTTGATTAGTAGTCTTTTATGTACTAAGCCATCAGAGCTTCTTGCACTACTAACCAGAGACTCCTTTCCTTTTCTGTATGTAGTGGTCACACAGATGGTTTAACTCCAAATGCAGACCCCTAGCAGGCAGGCCCTTGGCTCTGCATTCTCAAGGCAGACTTTTCCCCACCCACAGTTCAGCCCAAGACTGACAAGTTCCCTGTTGCCCCTTTGACTGGAAGCAGCACTTTCAGCTCGTTCATCCTTCCACAGAGCATTTCTGCCAATGATCCTGCTCTGTTAGTGCCCTCAGTGTCGTCTCTTCATCAAGACTGTAGTTCCTTATTCACAAGCAGTCATTTCAAACTGTGTCTTCTGGTAAAACCAATTCAGAGGTCACCTCAGTGCTGTTACGCATATGCCACTTTGTTATGCAGGGCTTTTAAAAGTCTACTTGCAGCTCTTGGGAGTTTCTCTTTCTCACAATTCAACTGTGCATTTGAGAAGAGGCTTGTTATATTTTATGTGGCATTTTCAGCTGATGAATGGTTTTCATCCGATCTTGTCCTCAATATTTCTGGGGTCTTCCTGCCACCAACAAACACATACACACACCAACACACTGACACACCCTAATGTACATGCCTGCGCACACACACTACACATGAGCCTACATACACTTGCATACACATATACCAGCACACATATAATAAATAATAATATAACATACAACAAACAGAATAAACACAAAGTCACGTACCAACACTAGCACACACATACTCCCTCACACCCTCAAACACACTAAAATGCGTGCATAAACCAGCATACATACACACAAACCAGTACACATATGTATACATGCATGGTCACACACTAACACACACACTCCCTAGCACACAGACCCACACTTATGTCATGCAATCTTGTACCATCGAATCAGCACCGACTCATAGCCAACTCTGCAGCAGGTTGTCTGTGGGAGTAAATTGCAAAGGAGATTATCTGTCTTTCTCTCACAACTCGCAACCATGAATTTGAACGGCATGTTTTCAGGTTGGCAGTGCAGCTCCTTAGTGGTATGGCCACCAGAGAAAATATAGACTTACATACACACATTCACACTAACACATTTAAATATATACACACTAACATGTACACATTCCTTTGACAGATAAAGATGCTAAAGTGCCTTTAGTGCAGAAGTAAAATTGGAATTTTCCAATCGATTATCAGACTAACATGTCCTTGCTGTAACATCCTTACATGGTGGGCTGTTTGGTTTGGTTTTTTTTCTTACACAGCTTTAAGGGTGAGTACTTTCTACCTTTTAATTAGTCTTGTCCAGAGATAGAGATTGCTCAGTTCCTTAAACACCTGATCTCAATTTTCAGCTTTCTAATAGATAAATCCCCTTTAGTGTAGTCGAAAATCAAATGCACTAATGAGCCTAAATGTACTTTGTAACTAGAACAGCATTTGCAAACAGGAGCCATCAGGCCCTCCCCACTCCTGGCCCCACTGGTTGATGAAAAGGGGAGAGGGAATCCGTCACAGGTCTATTTTAGTTTTGTTTGTAACTTTTGGTCCCTTATTTTATGAACTCTTATCTTTTCTTCATGAATTGAGCACGAAGGGGACAGCTGGGACCTCATCAGGCACTTCTGCAGAGCCGCCTCATTGTCTTCCCAGCTAATCATTTTACCTACAAGGCTGTGGCTATAAAACTGAGGAAAGCAAAGTTCAAAGCAGGAATTCCAATGGGTAGTCCCCAACTTTTAACCCCACCTTCAGTATCTTTGTGGCTTATGCTTTACTTGGTTCAGATTATGAAAATTTTTCTTAAAATGGTTTCTCAGTTATGCTTCCTGTGACTTTTGCTCTTCTCTCTCACACACTCACACACATTGTTGACAGAACTTACAGAATAAAAGCTTTGGAAAGGGACATCCAAACAAGCATTTTCTTTCTCAAGCTGACTGAAACCCACAGACACATCATTTGAAAATGAATGATTTTTAATCATTTTTTTTCCAAGTAAAAAGCACCACTGAAAAAAATGAAAGCAAGAAAGACGTAGGGAAATTCCTAACATGTGTGTATATGGTGCTACTGTTTAAAAGCCATTTCTACATCCATTATTTCCTTTCACCCTTCCTCCCTTATTTCTCGAAGTAGCTCCTTGGCTGTACGTTTTGAAAATGCGTTCACCTATGCTCCAAATGAAATCTTTCCATGAGCCAGCTTCTGAGCCAAACTGTTCAGTGATGAGACACTGCTGGCATTTTTGCCAACTAAAATAGTTAAGCTTCATAGTGCAATTGGCACCAGCCCTGCTGGGGGAGAGAGGGAGTGAGAGGTGATGAGGGCCATCCTTGTCAGCTGTTTCCTCCTCTTGCCTCTCTGACTGCTGGACTGGAGCAGCAACAAGGGACCCACTTCCATGGGTGCTTCTCCTGACTGGAGAGCAGGCCTGGAGGCCTCCATGGAGAAGTCAGCCCCAGGCAGGACTAACCCTGGACTCCATCTCCACGGTTATTCCTGCTGACTGGGGAACAGGCCTGGAGGCCTCCAGAGGGAAGCCCCAGGCAGGCCTGGCCCTGAATCCAGGCTGATTCCAGGCTGGCCTGAACCATACTCTGCTCTTAGGGATGTCTCCGTGGCTTTTGCAGGCTGTGGGAGGGCCTCCTTGCTGGATGTGATCACGGGACGAGGCCACGGAGGCAAGATCAAGTCGGGGCAGATCTGGATCAATGGACAGCCCAGCACGCCAGAGCTGGTGAGGAAGAGTGTGGCCCACGTGCGCCAGCACGACCAGCTGCTGCCCAACCTGACCGTCCGCGAGACCCTGACCTTCGTCGCACGGCTGCGCCTGCCCAGAACCTTCTCCCAGGCTGAGCGTGACAAAAGGGTAAACCCATGACCTGGGCGGGAGCTGTGTGATCCCCAGGGTCTGAGAAGGCGTGGTTTTCTCCTCCTGCGTCCCTCCCTGACTGCCCAGCAGCCAGCCACAGGCAGAGTCGAAGCAACTACACCTCGGTGACCAAAAACACCCTGTCGTCTTGCCCCCACTTCTGCATGCCCTGGGGACCCCACGGCCTCTGGGAGCCGCCTCCGCCCCACAGCGCCTCCTACACACACTTGCCAGAATTAAGGATTTGTGTGTTTGCCTGTTAGACTCCATCAGTGCAGGGACCCCCAACGATCTAGTCTCCTCTACATGACCACATCTCTCATACATGCCATTGTGTCCAATGTGGAGAATCCACAGAATCAGCAGGAGCAGGCCTGGTTCACTTCCAAATGTGACAAAAGGAGCTGCGCTTTTTATTTGAATAAAAATATTTGCAGCCTTGAAGAGGAAAAACCCTTACCAGTGCCTGGTCAATTCTGATGCAGAACAACCGTCTGTGGCCAAGAAGTAGAGCTTCTGGGAGGGTTTCCTGGTGGTAATATTTACGGACGCTGTTGATCAAGCCTTTCTTCCAAGACATTATGTACAAAGTGTCCTGTGGAGCCCAGCTCTCAGCGACCCTCCATGGGGTTTTTGAGGCTGTAAATCCTAGGAGAAAGGGACTGCCCACAGTTCTCCTGTGGTGCTGGTGTTAAGTTCAAACCGCTGGCCTTTTTTTGTTAGCAGCACTATAGCACCAGACCCACTTCTGAGTGGGCCCAAACCATCCACCTTTTGGTTAGTTGTTATTGTTATGTGCCATTGAGTCATCTGTGATTCATAACAACCCTATGTACAATACCTCTGAACTCTGTCCTATCCTGAGCCAGTTTCACTGTCTCCAATACACCTACCCTCATTAACCCAGTTACTCTGTCAATCCATCTTATTGAGGGTCTTCCTCTTTTGCACTGTCCCTCCACACTTCCAAGCATGATGTCCCTCTCCAAGGACCGCCCTTCCTGGCAACATGTCCAAAGTATGTGAGACAGAGCTTCAAAATCCTTGCCTCCTGGGAGCAGCTTGGTTTCACCCTCTCTAGGACAGAACTGCTAGTTCTCTTGGTGGATCGTGGTACGTTCAATGCTCTTCTTCAAAATGCACCACAGCTCAAAAGCATTGATTCTTCTTCTGTCATCCTTAGTTATTGGCCAGGTCTCTGATGCAAATCACTTGGGACACCTAGTGTCATGTGGGGACCTTCCAAGCCTGTAGGTGACCTCTGTGGTCATCGGCTTTCTCCTGCCCGCAGGTGGACGACGTGATCGCGGAGCTGCGGCTGCGGCAGTGTGCCAACACGCGTGTGGGTAATGAGTACCTACGTGGAGTGTCAGGTGGCGAGCGAAGGAGAGTCAGCATTGGGGTGCAGCTCCTGTGGAACCCAGGTGAGAGCCAGAGGGTCAGCGGGGAAGGAAGGACCTGTTTTGCCCACTTTTTTCTTGGCCTGGCCAGCGTACTGCCAACCCACCAGGCCTCTCTGTTGCCAAGGCATCCTGATTCTGGATGAGCCCACGTCGGGGCTGGACAGCTTCACGGCCCACAACCTGGTGAGGACCTTGGCCAGGCTGGCCAGAGGCAACAGGCTGGTGCTCATCTCCCTCCACCAGCCCCGCTCGGACATCTTCCAGCTTTTTGACCTAGTTCTCCTGATGACGTCTGGCACCACCATTTACTTAGGCGCAGCCCAGGACATGGTCCAGTATTTCACGGAGATCGGCCACCCCTGCCCTCGCTACAGCAACCCTGCTGATTTCTATGGTGAGCCCAGAAAAACCACAGGCACCTCCACCTGGGTCCCTGGAACTCTTGCTAATTGGCTCATGCCAGTTGGTCTCCCAAGCCCCGGGGACAGACTCAAGCTCAGGAGAAGGGGCACTAAGATAGACAGCGGGCAGAGTTGAGTATTTGTCATGGGACCGTTTATCAAGTATTAAGTACTAGCAATAAAAGTCTGTAAAACACAGTTTGTGGCAAACAGCATGGTGGCCACTGCAGGCTAGGCCAGGGTCTGTGGGTTGACTGCACGGTGAGAGCTGTGCTTGTCTTCAAATTTACTTCTGAATCTTGGAGAGCTTGATTTGACTAATGAAAATGCTGCAATATATTATTCCACATAACAAATCTTTAAAAAAAGATCGTGACTCGCTCTGCTCTCCTTGCCTCTCCGGTCCTCAGCGTGAGCCTTGTCCCTCCTTCCCGGAGGACACTGCCTTCCAGGCACCCACTGTGACCTCTGCTTATTGTTGGCATGTCTGTCTGGCAGGGGCCACAGTGGAGTCACACCCACTGGCCATGGCCTTCATACATGGGGCAAAGTGGTCAAGGAGTCAGTGTGCCTCTTGGGATGTCAGGGTGTAGTGAGGATATTACAAATAAGTATTTACAGGAGGACCAGAGACACCAACGGATATTGTTCACATCCTGCCAGGTCAGGGCCACCTTCATCTTTATATATAAAATTGGACCCCAGAGTGCTAAACAACCTGTCATGTGGCCAGCACTAAACAACAGCTGGAGGGTGCAGAGCTGGCCCCCAGCCCTAGGCATCCCTCACCTTCGCAGCCCTGACCCCAGCTTGCTCCTGCCTCCTCACCAGCACCCCAGGCCATCTTCCACCCTTCCCCCAGGAGCATGGTTCAGCCCTTACCCTTTGCACCCACAGCCTGGGTGAACTCACAGCTGTCACCCTCCCTGCTTAGGGTCAGGTGCCAGCCTCGCGTCTTGCCAGCGTGTCATCTTCAATCCAGTTGTTACATCTAGAGATAAGAGGGCAGAGTGCATATGCCAGCCTGGCTGCCAGGGAGATATCCGTAATAGCTCCAGCCAGAGATAGTTGTGATGTGTTAGTAAGTCAGAACCAACCCAGAGGCAGTAAATCACATGGGAAGAGATTGCCTATTCTTCTCCCACAGAGCAACTAGTGGATTCAAACCATGTGCCTTTGGGGTTGCAGTGCAGCTTCTTACCACTAGTCCACCAGAGCTTAAGAGAAGCCGAATGCCCATCTTACCAATAACAGGACCTGTTACCAAGATACCTTTGATTCCTGCTGACCCTAAGCGGTGGATTCAAACCATGTGCCTTTGGGTTGCAGTGCAGCTTCTTACCACTAGTCCACCAGAGCTTAAGAGAAGTCGAATGCCCATCTTACCAATAACAGGACCTGTTGCCAAGATACCTTTGATTCCTGCTGACCCTAAGCGGTCACCATCAAACTCCTTAAAGTTTTCAATGGCTAATTTTGCTGATGTGATCACCAAGCCTTTCTTTGAGACCCTCTGGGTGAACCCAAGCCTCCAACCATTTGGTTCGCAACCCAGCGTGTTAATAATTTACTCCACCTCTTGTTGTTAAGTGATGTTTCAGTGGCTCCCACTCCTAGTGAGCCTGTGAACAACAAATCTTCTGTGTCCTCACAGTCTCCATCCTGCTCAAGCCCATTGATGCAGCCACTTTGTCAGTCTAGTCATCGGACATCTGCCTCTTTTTACGGCAACCCACTACCCTTCCCAGCCTTGATGTCGCTTTCCAAGGACTAGTCCCTCTTGACAACATGACCAAAGTATCCAAGGCCAAGTTTTACATCTTTCCCTCAAAGGAGGATCCTGCTTGCATTTCTTCCAAGATAAACATGTTTGTTCTTTTGTCAGTCTATGAGATATTCAGTACCCCTTATCCAATTCCACAACTCAAATCAGAGATGGAGACTTGATATCCCCATGGCACAAAGTTCTTCAGTCTTCCTTATTCACTGTCAGAATTTCACATGACTATGAAGCCTTCAAAAATATTATGGCTGGAGGCGAGCTCTGGTGGCCTAGTGGCAAGAAGCTTCACTGCAATCCCAGAGAACAGTGGTTCAAATCCAGCAGATACTCTGCTGGAGAAGGAGGGACAATCTCCTCCTGTACCAGTCAGATCTGATTTGACGGTACACACACACACACACACACACACACACACACACACATAATAAAAATAAAATGAAAAAAAAATTATGGCTGGAATCAGGTTCACCTTGTTGTTGTTGGGTGCCATCAAGTGGAGTATGGCTCATAGTGACCCTGTGAACAACAGAGCTGATACATTTGAACCCACAACTGCAGTCACTGTGTCAATTCATCCCATTGGGGCTCTTCCTCTCCTTCACTGGCTCTCCACCTTTCTAAGCATTGTGTCTCTCTCCAAGGAATAGCCTCTCCTAGCAATATGCCCCAAGTATGTGACACAAACCTTTGCCATCCTTGCCTTTAAGGAGCATTCTCTAAGACATAAGTGTTTGTTCTTTTGGCAGTCCGTGGGATCTTTAGTATACTCTTCTCCAACTCCACAATTCAAAGGCATCGACGACTCTTCTGTCAGCCTTATTCATTGTGCTGCTTTCAGATGCATAGCAAGTGTTCTGAAAGACCATGGCCTAAATCAAATGAACCTTAGTCTTCAAACTGACCTCATTGCTCTTCAGTAATCTGGAAAGGTCACTGACAGCAGAATTTCCCAGTGCAATACATTTCCTGATCTCCTGACTGCTGGTACCAAAGGTGTTGGATTGTGGATCCAAGTAGGAAGAAATCACTGACAACTTCAATCATTTCTCCATCTGTCATGATGTTGCTTATCAGTTTAGTGGTAAAGAATTTGGCCTCTTGATGTTGAGAAGCAATCCATATTGTAGATTATAGTCTTTGACCTTCTACAGTAAGCATTTCAAGTCCTCCTCACTTTCAGGAAGCCTGGTAGTGTTATCTGCATAAAGCAGATGAGTCTTCCTCTGATGATGAGCCCACAGTCTCCTTCATTCAAGTCCAGCTTCTCAAATGATTTGCAGAGACTGAATAGGTACAAAAACAGGATACAAGTCTGATGCACACTTTACAGTCATGCAGTGTTCCTTTGCTCTGCTCCGGTAACTGCTTCTTGGTCTAGGTACAGGTTTTGTGTGAGCATAATGAAGTGTTCTGAGATTCCCATTCTTCTCGGTGTTAGCCATAGTTTGTTAGGATCCACACAGATCCTTTTGCTTAGTCACTAAAACCCAAATAGACATTGTTCTGGTATTCTCTGCTTTCAGTCAGGGTCCATCTACTATCAGCAATGATATACCTGGTTTCATGGCCTTTTCTCAAATCAGCTTGAACTTCTTTCATTGTACTGTTTTGTTTTGGATGATCTTCAGCAATGTTTTACCTGCATGTGATATTGTTCCTAGGGAACCCTAAATGTCTGCGGCTGAATCTAGTCTTCTGATCTGCATCCCTGAACATTGGGAGAAATATGGTACCGTTTAAAAGACTCCTCCTAGGAGTCTTGAGCTGTGTGGTGAAGTGGTAAGAGGAAAGAGGCTTTGAGATAAGGCCCAGCTGAGCCAGGCTCTGCAGGAGAAATGAGGAGAGAGAAGCCTTGGGGTGGGCTTTGTGGAGGTTAAAGTCTGAGGCTCAGGGAGAGTTAGGCTTGGAATAGGAGCTGCAGATGCAAGGGATAGTTGCTGTCCGCTGGTTCGCCCAGGCTCCTCCCCCTTGCCCACAGGGCATGGTGCTGTACTTCTCCAGGGTGGGTCCTGGCACCCTTCAGCCCACAATTGCTGTGCTTTGGGCAGCCTGCTTGGGAAGCCAAATTGCTGTCAGTCAGATTGGTCACAGAGCAAACCCGTGAAACAGTGCAGGAGCCCTGGCCAACCAGGATAGACAGACCTGAGAGGTGAGGCCTCACTTCCTCAGACATTAAGTCAGAGCCCAGGTGGGACTGTGCCATGGCCCCTGACTGTGGGGGGATCCTAGGAGGCTGATCTCTGGCCTGTTACCACAGGCCTGGCATACTGTGGTCAGGCCTGGTGGGGTGTGAGTAGCCCTGTGGTCAGGAGCCATTGTGGGTCTGATCCTCACTTCCTGTTTACTTTGGGAGGTGGGGGGAACCTCCTAGAGCATCCTCCCTCCGCAAGGTCCCCCACCTTGAAACAGATACACAGATGGGTAGCTTTTAGCCTGCATCTCTGCCTACAGTGGACTTGACCAGCATCGACAGACGCAGCCAAGAGCAGGAAGCGACCACCAGGGAGAAGGCTCAGTCACTGGCAGCCTTGTTTCTAGACAAAGCGCGTGCCTTTGATGGCTATCTATGGAGAGCCCAGGACCTCGGCAGTGGCCCCTGTGCAGAGAGGTAAGGCCGCTGGCTGGGTGTTGAGGGGGCGAGCACCTTGCTGAAGGGGCTACCAGTGACCTGCCCCTCCTGTGACCTTCCACAGCCCAGCCTGCCCGCAGGACCCCAGCCAACTCCCCTCGTCCATGGCCTCAGAACCCCGGCTGCCTGGAGCCACCCAGCAGTTTGCCACGCTGATCCGGTAATTGTCTATTGTTCAGTTTATCCCAGAAAAGCTTTGTTGTAACCAAATAAAGCCCTTGACCTCTAAAGTGACTTGGAAGGAGGAAGTAAGTGGTGAATTGTTTGAAAAAATCAGCATCATTAAGTCCAGCGCCAGCACCCCAGCATGTGACTGAGCTACCCATATCCCAGGGCTCTTCTTAGTCTTTAAATGAAATAAAAACATCTTAACTGGCCGGAAGAGTGTGGGATCACTGTGAGAAATCCAGACACCTTGGGAAGAGGAAAGGGAGGTCCTCATCTGAGCAGCTCCCAGGGAAAGCGAGTGCCCAGGCTTGGTGTGTGACTGTTGGCTTTAAGCACAGAAACCTTTTCATCCTCTGTGTGTTATCCTGTGATCAGGTTTTGCTTTTCTTCTCTCTCACATTAAACGAACAGCACTCATACCTCTTACCTAGGGAGCTCTGATGGCAAAGTGGTAAGGAGTTGTGTTGCCAATCCAAAGGCAGGCAGTTTGAATCCACCAGCTGTTCTGTGGGAGAAAAATGGACAGTCTCTTCATGTACAATTTACTGCCTCTGAAAACCCGCTGGAGGGTCAGCTATGAGTCAGTTCCATCTTGAAGGCAATGAACAACAACTTAGTTCTTACCTAGCTCACGCTGTCTTCCTTGTCGACTATCACTCCATAGTGTGCCTTCCACCATAACTCATTTACCTGTTAGTCTACTTCTTGCAATTGTTGTGGTAACAAAGCATTTGCTGTTTTAATTCTCTTTAACTGGCCTTCTGTGGTACTCCCACCACCCCATCCTTTCCCAAGCGTTTTCCATCAATCCAGGCAGGAACTTAGGGCACGCGAGGCACCCGTCTGCCGGCTGTGGTCTCTCCACATTCGCCTGTTCAGGTGGCTGTTGCTTGCTGTGAGTCACACCATAGCTGTCCTCTTGTTTCAGGTTTAAAATGTATTTAAAGTTCGTTCATACTGTAGCTTATATGCGGACTTGGTTTCTTGTTTTAGCTGAATAATATAGTCCTCTGTATCTGTGCACCACGTTTTTTGTTTGTTCATTCATGTTAACCGGCCAGTAGCTCATCTCTACCTTTCTGCCTATTGTGACCATGAAGTCCATATGGATGTTCCCTCATATCTCCAGACTTTGGCTATCATGAGCAAATATCCTTGTCTATCCACATCTGATACAGACCATGTCTTTGCAATCACTTGTTATGCATCAGAGAGTTGGACAA